GTTGGACCAAGTGCTTGCTTGGACCAAGTGCTTTCTTGGACCAAGTGCCTGCTTGGACCAAGTGCTTTCTTGGACCAAGTGCTTGCTTGGACCAAGTGCTTGCTTGGACCAAGTGCTTGCTTGGACCAAGTGCTTTGTTGGACCAAGTGCTTGCTTGGACCAAGTGCTTTCTTGGACCAAGTGCTTGCTTGGACCAAGTGCTTGCTTGGACCAAGTGCTTGCTTGGACCAAGTGCTTGCTTGGACCAAGTGCTTGCTTGAACCAAGTGCTTTCTTGGACCAAGTGCTTTCTTGGACCAAGTGCTTGCTTGGACCTAGTGCTTGCTTGGACCAAGTGCTTTCTTGGACCAAGTGCTTGCTTGGACCAAGTGCTTTCTTGGACCAAGTGCCTGCTTGGATCAAGTGCTTGCTTGGACCAAGTGCTTGCTTGGACCAAGTGCTTTCGTGGACCAAGTGCTTGCTTGGACCAAGTGCTTGCTTGGACCAAGTGCCTGCTTGGACCAAGTGCTTGCTTGGACCAAGTGCTTGCTTGGACCAAGTGCTTGCTTGGACCAAGTGCTTGCATGGACCAAGTGCTTGCTTTGACCTAGTGCTTTCTTGGACCAAGTGCTTTCTTGGACCATGTGTTTGCTTGGACCAAGTGCATTCTTGGACCAAGTGCCTGCTTGGATCAAGTGCTTGCTTGGACCAAGTGCTTGCTTGGACCAAGTGCTTGCTTGGACCAAGTGCTTTCTTGGACCAAGTGCTTTGTTGGACCAAGTGCTTGCTTGGACCAAGTGCTTTCTTGGACCAAGTGCTTGCTTGGACCAAGTGCTTGCTTGGACCAAGTGCTTGCTTGGACCAAGTGCTTGCTTGGACCAAGTGCTTTCTTGGACCAAGTGCTTTGTTGGACCAAGTGCTTGCTTGGACCAAGTGCTTGCTTGGACCAAGTGCCTGCTTGGAACAAGTGCTTGCTTGGACCAAGTGCTTGCTTGGACCAAGTGCTTGCTTGGACCAAGTGCTTGCTTGGACCAAGTGCTTTCTTGGACCAAGTGCTTTCTTGGACCAAGTGCTTGCTTGGACCAAGTGCTTGCTTGGACCAAGTGCTTGCTTGGACCAAGTTCTTGCTTGGACCAAGTGCTTGCTTGGACCAAGTGCTTTCTTGGACCAAGTGCCTGCTTGGATCAAGTGCTTGCTTGGACCAAGTGCTTGCTTGGACCAAGTGCTTTCGTGGACCAAGTGCTTGCTTGGACCAAGTGCTTGCTAGGTCCAAGTGCCTGCTTGGACCAAGTGATTACTTGGACCGAGTGCTCGCTTGGACCAAGTGCTTGCTTGGACCAAGTGCTTGCTTGGACCAAGTGCTTTCTTGGACCAAGTGCTTTCTTGGACCAAGTGCTTGCTTGGACCAAGTGCTTTCTTGGACCAAGTGCCTGCTTGGATCAAGTGCTTGCTTGGACCAAGTGCTTGCTTGGACCAAGTGCTTGCTTGGACCAAGTGCTTTCTTGGACCAAGTGCTTTGTTGGACCAAGTGCTTGCTTGGACCAAGTGCTTTCTTGGACCAAGTGCTTGCTTGGACCAAGTGCTTGCTTGAACCAAGTGCTTGCTTGGACCAAGTGCTTTCTTGGACCAAGTGCTTGCTTGGACCAAGTGCTTGCTTGGACCAAGTGCTTGCTTGGACCAAGTTCTTGCTTGGACCAAGTGCTTGCTTGGACCAAGTGCTTGCTTGGACCAAGTGCTTTCTTGGACCAAGTGCCTGCTTGGACCAAGTGCTTGCTTGGACCAAGTGCTTGCTTGGACCCCTCACTTTGTTTCCCCTCACTTCCATTCCCCCTCACTCCCTTCCCCCTCACTACATTTTTCCTCACTTATATTTTCCCTCACTCGTTTTCCCCCACTTCTGTGAGTGAGGGGGAATGGAGTGAGAGGAAATCCCCCCTCACTTCATTTCCCCTCACCTCGTTTCGGACGTTTGTAGACCCGAGAAGCGAAAACAGCCGCACATGTGCAGATCATGGAGCAGGCAATTTTCCGTCGTGGAGGTCCCTGACCAATCGATCTCGCTTTAATCCAATGCACTTTCCAGCATAATAGCAGGTCCGCGAACTCACAAATAATGTCTTTACATTGAAGGAAAAATCTTGTTTCGGACGTTTGTAGCCCCGAGAAGCAAAAACAGCCGCACATGTGCAGATCATGGAGCAGGCAATTTTCCGTCGAAGAGGTCCCTGACCAATCGATCTCGCTTCACTCCCAGGCACTTTCCAGCATAATAGCAGGTCCGCGAACTCACAAATAACGTCTTTACATTGAAGAAAAAACCTCGTTTCTGACGTTTGTAGCCCCGAGAAGCGAAAACAACCGCACCTGCGCAGATCATGGAGCAGGTAATTTTCCGTCGTGGAGGTCCCTGACCAATCGCTCTCGCTTCACTCCCAAGCACTTTCTAGCATAATTGCGGGTCCGCGAACTCACAAATGACGTCTTCAAATTGAGTAAAAAACCTTGTTTTTGACGTTTGTAGCCCCGAGAAGCGAAAACAGCCGCACCTGTGCAGATCATGGAGCTCGCAATTTTCCGTCGTGGAGGTCCTTGACCAATCGCTCTCGCTTCACCTCCACGCTCTTTCCAGGATAATTAAAGGTCCGTGAACTCACAAATGACGTCTTTACATTGAAGAAAAAACCTCGTTTCGGACGTTTGTAGCCGCGAGAAGCGAAAACAGCTGCACCTGTGCAGATCATGGAGCAGGCAATTTTCCATCGTGGAGGTCCCTGACCAATCGATCTCGCTTCACTCCCAGGCACTTTCCAGCATAATTACTTACGGTCCGTAAACTCGCAAATGGCGTCTTTATATTGAAGGAAAAACCTCGTTTCAGACGTTTGTAGCCCCGAGAAGCGAAAACAGCCGCACATGTGCAGATCATGGAGCTCGCAATTTTTCGTCGTGGAGGTCCCTGACCAATCAATCTCGCTTCACTCCCAGCACTTTCCAGCATAATTGTGGGTCCAAGAACTCACAAATGGTGTCTTTACATTGAATTAAAAACCTTGTTTCTGACGTTTGTAGCCCCGAGAAGCGAAAACAACCGCACCTACGCAGATCATGGAGCAGACAATTTTCCGTCGTGGAGGTCCCTGACCAATCACTCTCGCTTCACTCCCAGGCACTTTCCAGCATGATTGCGGGTTCGCGAACTCACAAATGGCATATTTACATTGAAGAAAAAACCTCGTTTCGGACGTTTGTAGCCCCGAGAAGCAAAAACAGCCGCACATGTGCAGATCATGGAGCAGACAATTTTCCGTCGTGGAGGTCCTTGACCAATCGATCTCGCTTCACTCCCACGCACAATCCAGCATGATTATGTGTTCGCGAACTCAGAATCGGCATCTTTACATTGAAGGAAAACTCTCGGTTCGGACGTTTGTAGCTCAGAGAAGCGTGCAGATCATGGAGCAGGCAATTTTCCATCGACGTCTTTACATTGAAGAAAAAACCTCGTTTCTGACGTTTGTAGCCCCGAGAAGCGAAAACAACCGCACCTGCGCAGATCATGGAGCAGGTAATTTTCCGTCGTGGAGGTCCCTGACCAATCGCTCTCACTTCACTCCCAGTAACTTTCCAGCATAATTGCGGGTCTGCAAAATCACAAATCACGTCTTTAAATTGAGTAAAAAAAACTTGTTTTGGACGTTTGTAGCCCCGAGAAGCGAAAACAGCCGCACCTGTGCAGATCATGGAGCTCGCAATTTTTCGTCGTGGAGGTCCCTGACCAATCAATCTCGCTTCACTCCCAGCACTTTCCAGCATAATTGCGGGTCCACGAACTCACAAATGGTGTCTTTACATTGAATTAAAAACCTTGTTTCTGACGTTTGTAGCCCCGAGAAGCGAAAACAACCGCACCTACGCAGATCATGGAGCAGACAATTTTCCGTCGTGGAGGTCCCTGACCAATCACTCTCGCTTCACTCCCAGGCACTTTCCAGCATGATTGCGGGTTCGCGAACTCACAAATGGCATATTTACATTGAAGAAAAAACCTCGTTTCGGACGTTTGTAGCCCCGAGAAGCAAAAACAGCCGCACATGTGCAGATCATGGAGCAGGCAATTTTCCGTCGTGGAGGTCCTTGACCAATCGATCTCGCTTCACTCCCACGCACAATCCAGCATGATTATGTGTTCGCGAACTCAGAATCGGCGTCTTTACATTGAAGGAAAACTCTCGGTTCGGACGTTTGTAGCTCAGAGAAGCGTGCAGATCATGGAGCAGGCAATTTTCCGTCGTGGAGGTCCCTGACCAATCGATCTCGCTTCACTCCTAGGCACTTTCCAGCATAATTGCGGGTCCGCAAACTCACAAATGACGTCTTTACATTGAAGAAAAAACCTCGTTTCTGACGTTTGTAGCCCCGAGAAGCGAAAACAACCGCACCTGCGCAGATCATGGAGCAGGTAATTTTCCGTCGTGGAGGTCCCTGACCAATCGCTCTCGCTTCACTCCCAGGAACTTTCCAGCATAATTGCGGGTCTGCAAAATCACAAATGACGTCTTTAAATTGAGTACAAAAAAACTTGTTTTGGACGTTTGTAGCCCCGAGAAGCGAAAACAGCCGCACCTGTGCAGATCATGGAGCTCGCAATTTTTCGTCGTGGAGGTCCCTGACCAATCGCTCTTGCTTCACCTCCACGCTCTTTCCAGCATAATTACAGGTCCGTGAAAACTCACAAATGACGTCTTTACATTGAAGAAAAAACCTCGTTTCGGACATTTGTAGCCGCGAGGAGCGAAAACAGCTGCACCTATGCAGATCATGGAGCAGGCAATTTTCCGTCGTGGAGGTCCCTGACCAATCAATCTCGCTTCACTCCCATGCACTTTCCAGCATAATTGCGGGTCCACGAACTCACAAATGGTGTCTTTACATTGAAGTAAAAACCTCGTTTCTGACGTTTGTAGCCCCGAGAAGCGAAAACAACCGCACCTACACATTCTCTCCTACAAATGGTGCCGATAATCAGGCTGTTAGGCAGCTTTCAATGGCTCTTCGAATGCCAACTAGCACTGGAAGAGGGGGCTTGAGATGCTGAGGAAGAAAAAGGGGAAACAAGGGCAGACACGAACAAACGAGGGCAAAGTTGAGTTGAAGAGGGCTACGAGGGAAATAAGGAGAACAGGAGAAAACGGTAGCATCTAGTAACTTATGCACCAATGGAAGTTGAGAAACACCCATCCATGAATGAGCAGGAAAGGAAACGAAGATGGTGGTGATCAGGACCAGCGGAACCAGCAACCCCAGCAACAGAGGAACATTTACTCCCACTATCTAGTCTACTACGCATGATTTCCTCACCCGAAACACAGGCAGAGGTTGGTCAGAGTCAGCGAGGAGCAGCACGAGGGCGAAGTGGCAGCTGGTGGGAGTGACGATCTCAGTTATGACCGCCGCTGCTATGGTGTTTAGTGGCACTAGCTGCCGATGCACCACCCGTGGTTGGCTATCCGGCATTGCAGTGCTGCTGGCATTGCTGCTGCTGCCGCTGTGACTAGAGGAGTTGGATGAGTGGGGTGTTTTTCCACGGGTGGTGGTGGTCACCTGTGCAACCTCTATCTGCACTCCCAGGCCTTCCACGATCATTACCGTCACTGGTGCACCCATGCAAAGAGAACGAAGTAGGTGGGGGGTGGGAGAGGTTCGGGGAGTGGGGTAACAAGGCTATGAATGGTTTGTGCTGGGCAGTGGTTGTCTGTGCCACCTCTATTTGTACTCCCAGGCCTTCCACGATCATCACCGTCACTGGTGCATTGCATGCACGCACGGCACAGCGGGGTTGAACTGGTTGGGTCGGTTGGGGAACGCAAGCGTGTGGGAAGGGAAGGAACAGAGTTTGCTCAAAACACCACCGTGCATGCATGTTCAGAGGGAATGGAGTGGCGGAGGTGGAAAAACGGTGCCAGAGGTGGAGTGTGGAAAGAGGGAGGGAGGAATGGGGGATAGAAGAGTGCGGACGGAGAGAAAAGAACGCCAATTTCTGAGTCGACTCAGAAAACCGTGTGAACCAATCTGTAACGGCTGAAAGAGCAGAGCGGCTTCACCTTGATGGTTGACGCCCAGCAAAAAGAGTCGGCGCATAACGAGTCTGAGCAGGAGAACTGCTGTTACAATTGCAGGTAATGAGACAGCTTTTGAGGCGTCTCAGAGGAGCCATGGCTTCACCTTGATGCTTGACGCCTAGTGAAAAGAGTCGGCGCAGGACGAGTCTGAGCACGAGAGCCGCTACTAGAACTCCCATGGCTGTTCGCACTGCCACGGACGGTTGCTGCGACACCAGACAGAAGACGTCGCGGCGGAGAGAGAAGGGGAGAGAAGGGGAGAAGACGAAGGGGCACGGTTGAAGGAAGATAAGAGATGGCTAATGGTGCTACTCGTGGCGCTAGTACATAGTTCTCAGGTTGCTCATTATGCAATTGGGTCGAGTGCGTAGCGCGTGATAAGAAGGGTCGACGGATCACGGCGTTTGTTTCTTGCTGCTTGTCAATCTTCGCCGGGGAGGAATGGCTTACCGAGGATGATAAGGCGACGGCGAGGCCGACAATGGTAACAGCCACCACTGGCTTCGATAGGATATCGAGCGACCATCTGCTTCCGCTTCGCCTGCTGCCGCTGCTGCTGCTGGTACTACTGTTTCTGCTGTCGTTTTCGACACTAGGACTTGCACGGACACTATGCTGCGAGTCGTTAACATTCCGCGACGTAGCAGCAGCGAGAGGTGAGACGGTGTGCCACTGACAGGAGCCTGAAGGGTCCCTCTCGACCTCGTACACCCATCTACCGTGAACCTCCGTGCGACCCATACCAGGTTGATTCACAGGCTGATTTTCGGGCTAAATTTCAGACTAATGGCACTGATTGTCAGGCTAATCCTACGCTGATTGTCACTGACTGTCCCCGGATAGGCAGTCCCCGGATCAGTGTTAGTTGAGAATAATCCGTTTGCGATGATGGATAAGCTTCAGCGTGCAATGAGTTGATTTTCAAGGCGCCTCAAAAATTGCTTCAACATGCAATCAAGCAGCAGCGTGCTTTCAACTATCAGCGTCGCACACTACCCCGAGCTGCTAATCTCATTGCACAGCAACAAGCCCTCGGGAACTCTGTCGTTTCGCGAAATAGCACAAGAGGAGAACGAAGGGAGGGACGGAATTTGAAAGGGCAACTTACCCTGAAACATAAGAGCAACTTCAATGAACTTTTGCTATCGAGTTTGACTCGTCGTCAAACTCTAGGCGACTTTCCAGTTCAAGGAATAAATCTACACTTTCCATGTCTCGACCCACTAGCGAATGTTCTTATTAGAGAATCAACAGTGAACACGACAACCTCCAGGTCCCAACCCAAGCCCATCTATTCTGGGAACGCGGAAGCGCAGTTGTTTAGCCTCAAGATCCAGCCTGTCAGGTCGCGTCGCTACGTTCTATGAGCCTCAGGACAAAAAGCTGGGCAAACGGGTCGTCACAGCCTACTGCTCGCGTTTTCGTTACGACAGCTTTGACATATGGGACCACCTTAGAGAACGAGCCTTTGAATGATCAAGACAGCAGTCACTAATGTTTGGGAGGACATTTTTATGTGCGCTGAAATGTTGGGGTGAATCCAGTTCAGACGTAATGACGCGCTGTATACTATACTCGATATAAGGCTTGAGTAACCGCTTTTTTTTTTTCGCGAGTGTCGCATGGCGTTGCACAGTGGCTCCTCGAGCTCCCCATCGCTAGCAGGAGACTCGTCGCAGGCGTCGCCACGACCGTCGCTACAACCGTCGCTACAGCCGCGTTCGCGACGGATCGGCGACCTTGCGACGGAGGGCGACGTTCGCAGCCGCGTGAAGTGGCTGAATCCGGAGGCGTACGGCGCGGGCGAGCTGGTCGTCGTCCGTCGCAGCACGGACGAGTGGCGATACGCCGAAGTCGTCAGCGTCGCACAGGACGGCGTGCAACTGCGCGTCGGTCCCGGATTAACTAAGGACGTCGCGACGCGGCTCTTAGGAACGCACGTCGGGAAGCTTCCAGGCAGCAGCAGCGTCTTCGGCGTCATCCCCGTTACAGGAACGCGAGGCAGGGTCTCGTTATCACTGACTTCACTTTCTTTTGGCATAAACAGTACGAGCAACGAAGCAGCGGCATTAGCAGTAGCAGAAGCAGCAGGAGCAGCAGCAGGAGCAGGAGCAGGAGCAGCAGCAGGAGCAGGAGTGGGAGCAGGAGCATCAGCAGGAGCAGGATCAGGAGCAGTAGTGGGAGCAGCAGCATCAGCAGGAAATTCATCGGCATCATCAACATTACCAGCAGGAGCAGCAGATGAAGCAGCGGACGCAGCAAGAGCAGCAACGGATGCAGCATCAGCAGCAGCAGTCATCGCAGAGTGGAGGCGATCAGCTCACCAGGGTCCACTGCAAGCCATCAGCAGCCGAAATGCTGCTGCCAATGGTCCTGTCACTAACGCCGCTGCCACCACTCCCGCCAGCATCACAGCTGCAGCGGCTGCAAGTGCTGCAAGTGCCACTGTCACCACCACTGCTATGGCATGCTCGGCCACGCATAGTGGCATTGCTGCTTCTCTTACCACTGGTACAGAGCCTATGGTTCGCACAGGTGCTACCGCTGCTGCCTCTTCTGCCACTGCCGCTTCTGCTGCTGTCTCTGCTCCCTCGTCAGCCTCTGCTCCATTGCCAACAATACCCGGACCTTTTGCCGAGCCTGCCTACGATGCAAGCCGAACGTCTCATCATGCCCGAGCACCCTCCCAAACCCAAACGCCCCCTCACTCACCAACGTCTCCTCATGGTTCTACCCAGCCCACCCCTCAACCCTCCTCCCAGCAACCCGCCTTGCAACAACCCTCCCTCCAGCACCCAAACGCCTCCTCCCAAACCTCTGCCCAACCCTCTTCCCAGACCTTTCCCCGAACCTCTTCCGAATCCACCTCCCGAGCCTCCGGCCAAACCTCCCCCAAGCCTGCTCCGTGCAACGAAGGCAAGGCTCTGCTGCCTTGGCAAACAGAAGACTGCCCTATCTGTCTTGAAGCCATGGTGAGAGGCAGAGCGTTATACGCCCCTGAATGCGGCCACTTGTGCCATTTCGACTGCATTCGCGAAAACGTTCGCCACGGGAATTTGTGCTGCCCGCTCTGCCGCTTCCCCCTCCAAGAACGCCCCACGTCGATTTTTTCCCTGCCTGAAACAATGGGGTTACCGCGAGCGGGTAGTCCCAGGGTGGGGGAGAGAAGGGGGGGATTGTTCGGGTTGGGAGAAGATGTGGGCGCCCTGCGAGGGGGAGGGGGCAGGGGGCGGGAAGGGGGAGGCGGGGAAGGGGGTGGGGGAGGGGGGGGCGCAGGGGGGAGTGTGGGGACACCAGAGGCGGGATTTGCAGCGAGCGAGGAACCACATTGCGGAACAGAGGGCTGTGGCGCTGCAACTGGTATGAGTCATGATGGCAGCGCCTCTCACATGCGCTGCTGCTGCTGCTGCTTCCGCCACCACTGCCGCAGCCGCCACCGCTGCTGCCGCTGCGTATGATTTTGAATTCTCAGCAACAAAGAAAGATGCTATGCTGCATCACCTTTTCTGCCACCTCCCACCCCTCTATGGTCCACCCATCCCTACCCCACCCCACCCAACCCCTCTTCCACCCCCCCCCCCCCCCCTTCTCTTCCTCCTATTTCCCCTGGCTATCAGATGGCGGCAGCAGAGGAGCGCATTGCACTGGTCAGAGCAGCGCACGCGGAGGTGCATTCGCACGTGCGCCTAGCGCAGCAGCTTGTACAGAGGATATCCGACAGGCGGTGAGTTGCCTCTGCATGTGCATATGTCCAGCACAGCAGAGAACAAAAGGGCGTAGCGGTAACTTCGCCGTGGAATTCTCAAACATCTCTTGCAGTCCAATTGGCCTCTTCCTGTGCTCTTGTTTCTGTTCTGCCAACAAAGGCAGTGCTGGTGTACCATAGAGGGCCAATAATGCCTCACCCAACTGTAAACATATTCTCTTCCCCTTTCTGCCCTCGTTGTTCCATCCCACAGGCAGCGAGCACTAGGAGACAACCTTCGCTACTCGCTCTCCCCGCCCCTCTCTTCCTCACCCACTCCCCCTCCTATCTCCCTTCCCTCCCTCTCCCTCTCCAACTCCTCCGATCCCACAATCCGTATCCCCTCCTCTTCCTCCTCCCTCCCCTCCTCTTCCTCCTCCCTCTCCTCTTCCTCCGCTTCCCCAGCTCTTCGCCGCTCTCTGGCCCTTGCAGTGGACGATGCATACAACCCGCTCCCATCTGGCCCCATCCGTTCTTCCGTTCCCTCCCGTCCGTCCATGGCCTCTCTCTCTTCCCTGTCGTCTCTCTACCCCCACCGTTACCACCCAGCCACCGCACTCTCCTCTACCGCTCTCCGTCTCTCCAGATCTGGTCCCCTTTCTGCCTCGCAGTCCTTTTCCTCCACCACCCATCACCTTGCCTCCACCAGTCATCCTTCCATATCTGGCCCTGTTTCCCTCCTTGCAAACTCTCACCTTTCCTCCTCCTCCTCCCCCTCCTCCTCCTACACTGCTCTCCCTGCCTCTTCCTCCACTCTCTCGCTCTTCTTCTCATAGAATCACTCCTGCTCTTTCTGCTCCAGCTGCCGGTGCTGCTGCCCCTGCCCTCCCTCCCGCTGCATCAGCCCATCTCTCTATTCCTATCACCGCAACCACTGGTACTGAAACCAGTGCTGCTGCCTCTGGTGCCGTCGCTGGTGTCACTTCTTTCAATAGCACTACCACCACCACCACCACCACTCCTGCTAGGACTACTGTTACCACTGCTGCTGCTGCTGCTGCTGCTGCTGGTGCTGCTGCTGTAGCCACCACTGGTACCGCTGCTGTAGCCACCACTGCTACTGCTGCTCCTACTGCTGCCACCAGTGAACCTACCGCTGCTGCTGTAGCCACCACTGCTACTATCACCTCTGCTGCGATCGCTCCTCCCCCTTCCTCCCTCCCCTCCTCTTCCACTGCCCGTTCTCCCCCTCCCGCTTCTGCCGTCGCCCCTGTCTCCCGTTCTTTCCGCTTCTCTGGCCGCTTCTCCTCCCTCTCTTCTTCGCTTGCACAGCCGCAGTCACCCCCCCGCAACAGCTCAGATCCACCTGCTGCCCATGCAAGGACAGGCAGGACAAACAGCCCCTGTGGGGATAGTGCCGCCCATGCAAGGACAGACAGGACAAACAACCCCTGTGGAGATAGTGCCGCCCATGCTGGGATGAACACTTCGGACAACCCCAGTGGGGCTGATGCAGGCCGAGGCTCGGGCACCCTTGCTGCTGGAAGCAGGCAAGGGCTCGCAGGGCAAGGGCTCGCAGGGCAAGGCGGAGGGGGGAGTGGTGCAGGGAGCAGTGTTGAGGGTGCTGTTGGGGGCAGCACAGGGGGCAGCAGTGCGGGTATCAGGGCTGTTGCAGTGGGTGATGGTGGTGTGGGTGGTGGTGGTGTGGGTGGTGGTGGTGGTGTGACTGATGGTGGTGCTGCCACTGGCTGCAAGGGTACTGGTGGGGAAGGCTGCAGTAGCAATGGGAGTAGCAGTGGTGGCAGCAGTGGCAGTGGGAGCGGTGGTGGCAGTCGCAGTGCTGGTGGCAGTGGCGGTGCTGGGGGCAGTGACGTAGTGAGGCAGAGAGATCAGTATCCTTGGCAGGTAGAACGAATTCTTGAGAGAAACAGACAGATGCGGCTGAAGCAACAGCAGCAGCAGCAACAACAGCAGCAGCAGCAGCAGCAACAACAACAGCAACAGCAGCAGCAACAGCAAGGGGAGGAGGAGGCGGAGGAGGAAACGCAGGGAAGATGGCAGCAGGAGGAGCAGATGCGGCAGGAGGTGCAGGGGAGGCAGCACGAAGGACAGAAGGAGCAGCAACAGCAGCAGCAACAACAACAGCAGCAGCAACAACAACAGCAGCAGCAACAACAACAGCAGCAGCAGCAACAGCAGCAGCAGGCGAGAGTGGAATATGATAGAGGCAGAGAGCAAGAGGCAGATGGCTCAGATCAAAGGGACGAGTATGTGACAGGTGGCACCAGCGGATTGGCTGACGATTTGCAGGTAGACCTGCTGCCAGCGGGATCATCTTCTGGGGGAGGTGCATCTGTGTGGGCGGCGAGGGGGAGGGCGCAACTGAACAGAACTCAGAGGGATGGGATGAGCGGAAACACAAGGGGAGGGCGACGGGGGGATATGGAGAGGAGGGAGAGGGGGGAGGATAGGGTATCGCAGAGAGAGAGGGGATTCAGGAGGGCGAAGAGTGAGGATGGGGAGAGAGGGCATGGGGAGCAGGAAGGCAGACAGAGGGGCGTGCAGGAGAGGCTGGAGCTGAGGGTAGAACAGAGGTTGGAAGAGAGGTTGAATGCGGTGCAGATGGGAGAGGGGGATTGTAGCAATGGTGTTGTTGCTGCGAGTAGCAGTACCAGTAGTTTAAGTGACAGGAGGAGGAGTGTGAGCAGTAGTGTTGGCAGTAGCAGTTGCACTATTGGGAGGAGGGAAAGGAGGGCGATTTATGAGAGGAGGCTTGGGAGAGTGGAAGCAGAATACGGGAACCAAGGCTCGGTGGGTGAGAGTCACCTTTTGGAACTGCAGGAGGAGCAGGAGGAGCAGGGGGGGCAGCAGGAAGACGAGGAGGATGAGGAGGAGGGGCGGCGGCAGCAGCAGCAGCAGCAGCAGCAGCAGCAGCAGCAGGAGGAGCAGCAACTGCTGCAGCTTCAGGAGCAAATCCTCTTGCAAGAGGAGCTGCAGAGTCATCTACAGGAGGAATTACAAATTCAGGATCTGTTACGGTTACAAGAGCAGCATCAGCTGCAGGAACGGTTACAAGTGCAGGAACAGTTGCAGGTGCAGGAGCAGCTTCAGTTGCATGAGCAGTTACAACTTGGGTTACAGGAACAGTTGCAACTGCAAATGGGGACGGAGTTACAGCAGGAGCAGCAAGAGCAGTTACAGGATGCAGGGTCGTTACAGGGTGGTTATGCAGAGGAATTGGAGCAAGAATTGCTATGTGACGAGGAGTTACAACTTTCAGACGAGTTACAGTTACAACTGCAAGACGAGTTACAACTACAACAGCAGCTGGAGCAAAGGGAGATGGAGGCGTTACATGTGCAGTTTGAAGAGGGAATGCAGCAAGAGGTACGGTTTCATGAGCAGTTACAACTTGAGGAGGAGTTACAGTTACAGCAGCAGCTTCAGGAGGAACACTTGTTGCAGCAGCAGTTGCAGGAGGGGCAGCAGCTACTGTTACTGCAGCAGCAGCATGAGCAGCAGCAGCAGGAGGAGGAGGATGCACAGCAGCACTTGCAAGCGGGGCAACACCTGTTGCTGCACCTGCAGCAGCAGCAGGAAGAGGAGGAGGATGCAGAGGAGCGATTGCAGGAAGAATTGGAACAGCAGATTCAGCTGCTGCAGCAGCATCAGCTACAGCGGGAGCAAGAGCAGCACGAGGAGGAGCAGGAGCAGCAAGAGCGACTCGCAGGTGAGGCACAGGGCCAAGCACAAGCGAGTGCAGAAGAGGTTGATGCACTTGGTCTTCATGTCCCTTACGCATACAATGGTATTGGCAACAGCAACAGCAGCAGCAACAGCAGCAACAGAGAGAGACTGGGTTTGGGGAGAGAAGCAGCAGCAGCAGCAGTAGCAGCAGAAGAGGTACTGGTTCAAACGGCACAGGGAGAGACATCGAGAGCAGAGGGGAGCCTAGGGTTACAGGTAACCGCGGGTAGAAGGGACCAGAGGGACCCGAGGGAGCAGCGGGAGCGGAGGGGCGTACCTAGGCTCGGCAGCAGGAGAGGCTCGGCGCCGAGGCTGCTAGGCGTGTACAGGAGGCACGGGAGGGAGGATCGGCATCGGCTGGAGGAGTTGACAGAGAATCTGGAGGATGGGGAGAGTACCCTTTCTGGAAACACTATTGATGTTCCTCCTGGCGGAGATGACTATAACGAAGGGGACTACAGTGCTGAGAGTGCTGGCAATAGCAACAGTGGCGGTATGGGGTATACTGGTCCTGCATGGTTACCTGGCCAGATTTTCTCCAATCAAATCCGTGCGGAGCAGAGGTCGTTCGATTCGCACCCTGGTGGGCGTATGAGAAGGGCGGGCAGTATTGGCAGCCACAGCAGCAGCCACAGCAGCCACAGCATTGGCAGCAGGAGCAGCAGAAGCAGCAACAGGCGAGCTGGGCCCAGTAGAACCTCCCCTCGAATCGCACCTGCTTCAGAAGGGCCCCGATACAACCTTCACCAGGCAAACCTTCCCCAGTTCAACCTTCCCCTCTCCCACAGCGAAGGCTCAGGCCCCTCACTGACTCTCAGGGGTAACGAGGGGTACCAAGGGGTACCTGCCTATGTGGATGGTTTGGGTATGGTAGGGTTGGATAGTGGGCTGGTGGGTGCTATGGATGGTGGTGACATGGGTGGTGCTATGGGTGGTAGAATGGATGGTGAGATAGATGGGGATGGGGTGGGGGGACTAGGGTCAGAGCTGATGGGCTTTGGAGCAGGTTTGAGGCGTTACCCATCGGGATTGGAGAGATTGGGAAGGGTTGGGTCAGGGGAAGTTGGGTTTGGAGGGGTGGTGAGTGGTGGAGCAGGGCGGGTGGAGGAGGAGGAGGTGGAGGCGGAGCTACTGGCGATGGAAGCAGCGGTTGAGTTCAATGTGAGGGTGGTGACGTGTCAGGGCTCCCCTGTGCGCTGGCACAACTGCCACGTGTGCGTGCGGCCCAATGCGGTGCTGCTGGATGCAGCTGGGTGCATTGTGGTGGATGGGAGGGAGCTGCGGGCACGAGATGGCACTCCGGTGAGGCCTAATCCATAGCAGTTAGAGTCAATCATTCATACACTTATGGACTTCTCCCTGCCTCTGCTGCACCTCTCCTTCATTCACACCCCCCGTCTCCTCCTCTTTCAAACGTCGCCACCCTCTCTTTCCTCCAATACAAGCTCCAATGCAGCCTGTGTTGGAGGAGCAGGGAGAGAGCCTCATCCACGCCCTCATCGACTCCTCCCCGCCGCTGCTGCACCTCTTCTTCATCCACGCTTTCCTTGACCTCACTACACATCCCCTCTTCCACGCACAGGTGGTGGTGGAGGAGCAGGGAGAGAGCCTCATCCACGCCCTCATCGACTTCTCCCCACCGTTGCTGCACCTCTCCTTCATCCACGCGTTTCTCGACCTAGCGTCACATCATGTGATCGCATCCCTTCCGCACTTCCCCTCTTCCACGCACAGGTGGTGGAGGAGGAGCAGGGAGAGAGTCTTATCCACGCACTAATCGACTTCTCCCCGCCGCTGCTGCACCTCTCCTTCATCCACGCGTTTCTCGACCTCGCGTCACATCATGTAATCGCATCCCTTCCGCACTTCCCCTCTTCCACGCACAGGTGGTGGTGGAGGAGCAGGGAGAGAGTCTTATCCACGCACTAATCGACTTCTCCCCGCCGCTGCTGCACCTCTCCTTCATCCACGCGTTTCTCGACCTCGCGTCACATCATGTGATCGCATCCCTTCCGCACTTCCCCTCTTCCACGCACAGGTGGTGGTGGAGGAGCAGGGAGAGAGTCTTATCCACGCACTAATCGACTTCTCCCCGCCGCTGCTGCACCTCTCCTTCATCCACGCGTTTCTCGACCTTGACCCACGGGCCGTGGTGCTGCAAGAAACGGCCGTGAGGGTCAACCGGTGGCTGAGCGACCGCCAGAACCAACATGAAGTCATTGCACACTTCCTCACTTGTGATAGACAGCTATGATGTGTGATGTGCGGCTTGGCTCAGACCTTGACCCGCGGGCTGTGGTGCTGCAAGAAACGGCAGTGCGGGTGAATTGCTGGCTGAGTGACCGTCAGAACCAGCACGAAGTCATTGCACACTTCCTCACTTGTGATAGACGTTGTTGTGTTGTGTTCAACAACGTATCATGTGTGCTGGCTGGCACAAGGTGATATTGTATACATGTGTGTTGAGTGTTGCTGCAGGAGTGGCTCTGATCTGAACAGGAAAATGGAAATTCATTTGGTCAGCCCTTGACCTAAAGGACAACCATTTACCACCTTTGAGGTGTTCAATCAGCGGCTGAAATAGATACCAGGCCAGCAGTGGTTACAAATGCGACCCACATCATTGGGTGCTACTCATCACTAATTACACTACATGAGTAAGGCTCTTCCCTTATGCATCTCGCTCGTATGCTCGAACCTCCAGTTCGGTCAACGAGGGCCGAACCACCATCAGTGCAGCGTCAAAGTGCTCCCAAGAAACGCACGGGGGAGTATTCGATGCAGCCACTGCCGCTGCTGCTTGTGCTTCTGTTTCTCCTGCTGCTCCTGTGGTCCCCGTTGCTGTATCCTCGCCTGCTGCGGATTGACCTTCTCCCTCCCCATTTCCAAGAACCTTCCCCCTCAACGCTGCCAAAGCAGCCTCCCTGCACAGCGCTGCCACGTCAGCGCCGGTGAACAGCGCCGTGCGGGAGGCGACAGCTGGCAGGCTGACGTCAGCAGCGAGGCGCATGGCTGATGTGTGGATCTGCAACGCGTGCAGCCTGCCTGGTTCGTCCAAGGGTGGTACATAGATGATCTGATGGGGAGGATTGTAGGGAAAAAGAATCACCCGGCAGTGTCTGTAGCCACCATCTTTCATCCAATCATGATATGTTGATGGCAAAGGAAGGGGAGGAGGAAGAATAAAGATAATGAGAAGTGGTGATCTAGAGAGGTCAGTGCCAGAGTATGGTGGGGTGGGGTGGGCACTCACGGAGTCAAACCTCCCTGGACGAATGATGGCTGGATCCAGGGCTTGGAAGCGGTTGGTTGCTGCAATCACCAGCACTGACGAGGAGGAGGATGAGGAGGAGGGAGCGGAGGTGGAGTCTGAATCGCCTTGCCATGTGTTGCTTGCAGTTGTTGCGGTGCTTGCAGTGCTTGAGGGTGCAATGGGAGCAGTGAGCGACTGAAGCCCGTCCATTTCAGTCAGCAGCGCCGCCAGTAGCCTCTCCCCCACGCTGCCCCCACCTCCCCCTCCCCCTCCACTCCCTGAGCTTTCTGCTTCAGATCTGGTGGGGATGAATTGGGAAGGGGAGGCACACAAAGGTGGAAAATGAACAGGGTATAAACCACCTAACTAGATATGCATTGCTGGGTTGTACCAGACCTGCTGTCATACATGATGTAGACAGTACTGCACTAGACTGCATCACGTTGCACCACCCCATATCATGCTGCACCGCTCCGTACCGCACTGAACTTACCTGCGGCCCCCCACCACGTCAACCTCGTCCACAAACACTACACTGGGAGCCGTCATGCGAGCCAGCGTCGTCCACAAACACACTCTGAACCGCTCTGCGCCACACTGTAACCCTCACCTGCGGCCCCCCACCACGTCGACCTCATCCACAAACATGCGAGCCAATTGAAATGTGTCTTGACAGGGTCAGATTCAATTGCCTACAATCACACATGCAGACTGCACTGCACTGCACTGAACCGCACTGCACTCACCTGCGGCCCCCCACGACGTCCACCTCGTCCACAAACACCACGCTGGGAGCCGCCATGCGAGCCAGGCGGAAGGTCTCTTTCAGCATCGCCTCTCCCTCGCCCACATACATGGAGAACAGATCCGCACCGCTACAGACAGAAAGGGAAGGGTGCAAGCGGACACATGGATACACCATAGGTTTGTCAGTCAGGGCAGCGGCTTGTCTCTTTCAGCATCGCCTCTCCCTCGCCCTCGCCCACATACATGGAGAGCAGATCCGCACCGCTGTGTGTGTGAAAGGGAAGGAGGCAGGAGGTAACAGATGGATGGACAGAGGTCAGCCGCAGCTTGTGTCTTTCAGCATCGCCTCTCCCTCGCCCTCGCCCACATACATGGAGAAGAGGTCTGCTCCGCTGCAGACCAAAACAAGAAAAGATATGGACCATGGGGTTGTGATTCAAAGCAGCGCCATGTGTGTCTTTCAGCATCGCCCTCGCCCACATACATGGAGAAGAGGTCTGCACCGCTGCATGTGCCAAGGGAGGGAACAAGACGGATGTGGTGCAGTGAAACACATCCGTCTTGTTCCCTCCCTTTATGGTGCATGTGAAACACATCCGTCTTGTTCCCTCCCTTTATGGTGCATGTGAAACACATCCGTCTTGTTCCCTCCCTTTATGGTGCATGTGAAACACATCCGTCTTGTTCCCTCCCTTTATGGTGCATGTGAAACACATCCGTCTTGTTCCCTCCCTTTATGGTGCATGTGAAACACATGCACGGAAGAGAATGCGGGCATTGGTTGGCCGCCCCCAGGTGGGCCGAGCAGCAGCACTCCCCTTGGGGGGGTGAGAGCGAGGCCTTGAGTGGTTCCTCAGAGAGTGAGAGGGAGTGGAAAGCTCACCTGAGAGAGAAGAGTGTTCCCTTGGAAGCATGGGCAGCAGCAAGGGCGAGGATTGTCTTGCCGCCAGCAGGGGGGCCGTGCAGCAGCACTCCCCTTGGGGGGACAGTCGACTACTCTAGGGGAAGAAAGCACACCTGAGAGAGAAGAGCGTGGCCTTGGAGGCATGTGCAGCAGCGAGGGCGAGCATTGTTTTGCCTCCCCCAGGGGGGCCGTGCAGCAGCACGCCTCTGGGAGGGGTGAGAGCGAGGCGCAGGAAGGCTTCAGGGTGCTGTAAGGGCCACTCCACCGCCATCTGCAATCGTTTCTGATCGGTTCATAGGGGTTGAGAGGGATGGGGGGAGGAGTAGATGGGAGTGGGGTGATGGGGGAAGGAGTGAAAGGGGGAAACGGAAAGGGAGTAGAGGTGTATCAGAGTGAAGTTGGGGGTTTAGGGGGAAGGAGAGGAAGGGAGAGGAAGAAACCAAGGGAAGGAACTGAGGAGCAGACTAGGCCATTCTGTATTCCTTCCACATTCCCTCGTTCCAGCATCGTTTCTCCAAACCTTCTTTACCTTTCCTTTCAGGCCCTCCAAGCCCCCGACGTCGCACGACGGGACGGCAGGGAGGTGAGCCGCCACCCACCCCTGCACACCCCCCCCCACCGTCCCCCACCAGGCCCGCACCAGGCCCGCACCAGGCCCGCACCAGGCCCGCACCAGGCCCGCACCAGGCCCGCACCAGGCCCGCACCAGGCCCGCACCAGGCCCGCACCAGGCCCGCACCAGGCCCGCACCAGGCCCGCACCAGGCCCCCACCAGGCCCGCACCAGGCCCGCACCAGGCCCGCACCAGGCCCGCACCAGGCCCCCACCAGGCCCGCACCAGGCCCGCACCAGGCCCGCACCAGGCCCCCACCAGGCCCCCACCAGGCCCGCACCAGGCCCGCACCAGGCCCCCACCAGGCCCCCACCAGGCCCCCCCCGGCCCCCACCAGGCCCCCACCAGGCCCCCACCAGGCCCCCACCAGGCCCCCACCAGGCCCCCACCAGGCCCGCACCAGGCCCGCACCAGGCCCGCACCAGGCCCGCACCAGGCCCGCACCAGGCCCGCACCAGGCCCTCACCAGGCCCCACCAGGCCCGCACCAGGCCCGCACCAGGCCCTCACCAGGCCCGCACCAGGCCCCCACCAGGCCCGCACCAGGCCCGCACCAGGCCCCCACCAGGCCCCCCCGGCCCCCACCAGGCCCGCACCAGGCCCGCACCAGGCCCGCACCAGGCCCGCACCAGGCCCGCACCAGGCCCGCACCAGGCCCGCACCAGGCCCGCACCAGGCCCGCACCAGGCCCGCACCAGGCCCGCACCAGGCCCGCACCAGGCCCGCACCAGGCCCGCACCAGGCCCGCACCAGGCCCGCACCAGGCCCGCACCAGCCCGCACCAGGCCCGCACCAGGCCCGCACCAGGCCCGCACCAGGCCCGCACCAGGCCCGCACCAGGCCCCCACCAGGCCCCCACCAGGCCCCCACCAGGCCCCCACCAGCCCCCACCAGGCCCCCACCAGGCCCGCACCAGGCCCGCACCAGGCCCGCACCAGGCCCGCACCAGGCCCGCACCAGGCCCGCACCAGGCCCGCACCAGGCCCGCACCAGGCCCGCACCAGGCCCGCACCAGGCCCGCACCAGGCCCGCACCAGGCCCGCACCAGGCCCGCACCAGGCCCGCACCAGGCCCGCACCAGGCCCGCACCAGGCCCGCACCAGGCCCGCACCAGGCCCGCACCAGGCCGCACCATTCCCGCACCATTCCCGCACCATTCCCGCACCAGGCCCGCACCAGGCCCGCACCAGGCCCGCACCAGGCCCGCACCAGGCCCGCACCAGGCCCGCACCAGGCCCACCAGGCCCGCACCAGGCCCCACCAGGCCCCCACCATTCCCCCACCAGGCCCTCACCAGGCCCGCACCAGGCCCGCACCAGGCCCGCACCAGGCCCGCACCAGGCCCGCACCAGGCCCCACCAGGCCCGCACCAGGCCGCACCAGGCCCGCACCAGGCCCGCACCAGGCCCGCACCAGGCCCGCACCAGGCCCGCACCAGGCCCGCACCAGGCCCGCACCAGGCCCGCACCAGGCCCGCACCAGGCCCGCACCAGGCCCGCACCAGGCCCGCACCAGCCACCATTCCCCACCATTCCCCCACCATTCCCCCACCATTCCCCACCATTCCCTCACCATTCCCTCACCAGGCCCTCACCATTCCCCCACCATTCCCCACCATTCCCTCACCAGGCCCTCACCATTCCCTCACCATTCCCGCACCATTCCCTCACCATTCCCTCACCATTCCCTCACCATTCCCACCATTCCCGCACCATTCCCTCACCATTCCCTCACCATTCCCTCACCATTCCCTCACCATTCCCTCACCATTCCCTCACCATTCCCTCACCATTCCCTCACCATTCCCTCACCATTCCCTCACCATTCCCTCACCATTCCCTCACCATTCCCTCACCATTCCCTCACCATTCCCTCACCATTCCCTCACCATTCCCTCACCATTCCCTCACCATTCCCTCACCATTCCCTCACCATTCCCTCACCATTCCCTCACCATTCCCTCACCATTCCCTCACCATTCCCTCACCATTCCCTCACCATTCCCTCACCATTCCCTCACCATTCCCTCACCATTCCCTCACCATTCCCTCACCATTCCCTCACCATTCCCTCACCATTCCCTCACCATTCCCTCACCATTCCCACCATTCCCCCACCATTCCCCCACCATTCCCCACCATTCCCTCACCATTCCCTCACCATTCCCTCACCATTCCCTCACCATTCCCTCACCATTCCCTCACCATTCCCTCACCATTCCCTCACCATTCCCTCACCATTCCCTCACCATTCCCTCACCATTCCCTCACCATTCCCTCACCATTCCCTCACCATTCCCTCACCATTCCCTCACCATTCCCTCACCATTCCCTCACCATTCCCTCACCATTCCCTCACCATTCCCTCACCATTCACCATTCCCTCACCATTCCCTCTCTCACCTTGATGCTCTCAAGACCCCCGATGTCCCTCCACGTGACAGCAGGCAGCTCAGCCGCCACTCCCCGAGTCACCGAGGGCCCGACACGAGAGAGCGCCGCTTCAAAGTGCCTCATGCACACCAGCCCCTGCTGACCAGTGCGTGTGGGCTTCAAGTTGCTGCTCGCTGTGCTGGCATCTGCGTCTGTATCAGTGGCAGTGGCGGCAGCAGTACTAGTAGCAGTATGAGTATCAGTTTGAGAAGCAGAAGCAGTGTTGGTATCGGTCGTGCTGTTTGCTTTGTTTGCGCTGCTGCCAAAGTCATTCGTTTTGCTGGTCATGCAACTGCTGCTGCTGATGGTGGTGGTGGCGCTGCTGCTGCTTTCCGTTGCATGGGCGCTGTTGCCATCCAGCCTCTCTGCACCAGAAACCACCTCCCCTACTCCAGATAACGCCTCCCTTCTTCCAGATAACTCCTCCCCTTCTCCAGCACCCCTCTCCTCCTCTCCAGCAGCCAGATCCATGACAGCAGCAAGAGCAGCTTCACGACACACCGCTGCCAAGTCAGCACCCACGTAACCCTTGCAGCGCGCCGCCAGCTGGCGCATGTCCACGTCAGCATGCAGGGGCAGGGAACGCGCATGCAGCTGGGGAAAGCACGGAAGGGAGGAAGGGGGGATAGGAGCGGAGAGAGGAGTGGGGGGGAGGGAGACGAGGACGGAGGAGGGGAGGGAGAAGAGGAGGAGGGAGAAGAAGAAGACAAGTGAATTGCAGCAGTAGCAGGGAGACCATGGGATGGGTAATGATGGGGAGATATGAGGAAATCGAAGCAGGCTATTCTCTTGAGTAACCACAAACAGGAAGCGATGAATTCCGTACCCTACCAATCCTCTTCTTTCATGCATTTTTCAAACATTTTTTGTCACCTCGCGTATCACCTCTTCATTCACACCATCCCTCACAGCTCACCTTGAGAATCGCCTCTCTCTCCCTCGTGCCCGGCACGTTGATTGCAATCTCGCGGTCGAATCTTCCCGGCCGGCGTAGCGCGGCATCTAGTGCGTTGGGGCTGTCAGTGGGAAACGAGGAGGTTAGGGGTAAGGAGGGTGGATCATGAAGGAATGAAGGCTGGGCCTACAGCAACTCTTTTCTTTTTTTTTTTTGTCATAATCATGGCAATGGTAATGGTAATGGTAATGGCAATGGTAATGGTAATGGTAATGGTAATAGTAATGGTCATGGATATGGTGATGGTAATGGTTATGCTAATGGTAATGATCATGGCTATAATAATGATAATGGTCATGGTCATAGTGATAGTCATGGTAATGGTAATGGTAACGAATGTTAATGGTAATGGTTAATGGTAATGGTAATGATCATAGTAATGGTAATGGTAATGATAATGGTAATGGTAATGGTAATGGTAATGATAATGATAATGGTAATGATCATGACAACGGTAACGGTAATAATAATGGTAATGGTAATGGTAATGGTAATGGTAATGGGCATAGTACTAGTAATGGTCATGGTCATGGTAATGGTAATGGTTATGGTAATGGTTATGGTAATGGTTATGGTAATGGATATGTAGAATGGGTATGTAGCAGCTTGAGGCATAGAGGAAAAGAAGAGGATGATTTTATATCACACCAAGGTAAGCAGATGTGAAGCGGAGGAACTAGGTGAGACAAGCTTTCTTTACCGGTTGGTGGCAGCGATGACAACAAGTGGTCGAGAGGGGTGGGAAGCGGTGGGTTGGAAGGAGGAAGAGGAGGTTAGAGGGGAGGAGGAGGAGGGGAGTGAGGAAGTGGATATGCCGTCCATGAGAGTGAGAAGCTGCGACACTATTCTCGTCTCATTCTGTCGCCTGCTCACACAGTCAAGAGCGAGAAGCTGAGAACACACCCTCAAAGTCACACACTCGGGCAATTTTCTAGGCGCTTGAAAAAACCTTAGTGACTCTAGTCAAACGAACAGGGGTGTTCATGGAAAACACGACCAAATGCTTTCTAATCGAAGCCCATTATAAGCAACATCCCCCTTATAAGCTACCTTGAATCTCTCTTTGGGCACAGCACGTCAATCTCGTCAATAAACACAATCGATGGGCGCACATCTGCAAACCCCTCCGAACCGCCTCTCACACCTCCCCCTGCCACTCGCTCTGTACCTCCCTCCTCCAGTCCCACATCCCCCTCGTTTCCCCCCCTGGCCGCGTCAAAGACGTCGCGCAACCGCCTCTCGCTCTCCCCTGCGTATGCCCCAAAGATGGATGATGACCTGACGCATGGGGTGCAGTGGTGTTGAAGGGAAGAGAGGGGTTGAGAGGGGTACATATTGAGGTGCCCCCCATCCCCCTCCTTTCCCCACTCTGGCTGCTTTGAAGACGTCTCTCAGCCGCCTCTCGCTCTCCCCCGCGTATGCTCCGAAGATGGATGACGACCTGCATGCATGCGGTGGTGTGCGGTAGAGAGGGTTAAAGAAGGGTCTGTTACAGGGAGCCTTGGAAACCCTCTCACTCTCCCCCGCGTATGCTGCAAAGATGGATGATGACCTGAGGCATGCAAGAGTGGGGTGTGGGGCTGAGGGGTCAAGGGGTGAACGGGGTCTAGACCCATATGCTTCCAGAATCCTCTCGCTCTCCCCCGCGTATGCTGCAAAGATGGATGATGACCTGACGCATGGGGTGCGAGGGTGTGACTGCAAGGGTCAGGGTGTGCATGGGAGGGGTGTAGATTCCCCTCGTACATGTTTTGAGAATCTAATTCTCTCCCCGCGTATGCTCCAAAGATGGATGATGATCTGCATGCATGGGGTGCAAGGGTGGGGCAGAGAGGGCGAACGTGTGGGAGGGGTCGAAACTATACATTCACACACGTTCACCCTCTGCAGAAATGATACATGCCTCTCGCTCTCTCCCGCGTATGCTCCAAAGATGGATGACGATTTGATGCATTGCAGAGAGGGGCAGAGAGAGAAGGTCAGGGTGAGGGAGGGGACTAGGCTCTACATCTCGAGAGAATCCTCTCGCTCTTCCCCGCATATGCATGCAATTCGAGAGTGGCAGGGTGCGTGGCAGGGTTGTTGGCAGGGTGGTGTGCTCAAGTGATGGTAAAGAGCCGCGCATTGCATTCCCGAATGCACATGGGATGGGAGGGGGTGCGCACTAATGGTGAGGGCAAGGATGAGTGGTACGGCAGGGTGGGTGTGGCCACTCACGTGGCAGTAAAGAGCCGCGCATTGCACTCCCGAGCACACACGTGACATAGATGGGAGGGGGGGCGCCCTAATGGTGAGGGAGAGTAACGCTTGGCAGGGTGGTGTGCAGGGAGGGTGTGGCGACTCACGTGACAGTGAAGAGGTGTGCGTTGCACTCCCGAGCTATCTCCCTCACCATCAGCGTCTGCCATTGGCATGCCATGCCATGCCATGTTATGGGGACATGCCATGCCATGCATATTGCACATTGCACACATGGGATGGGAGAGGGCATGCCATGGGATGCCATGGGATGGCATATCCACGGAAAATCGTCAAGCAGCAAGAATAAATGCCCTGCACAGCTAGTAAATGCAAGAAGGTACCCTTGCCTGTGCATGCTAGGGATTGAAGAAAATTAAAATACTGTCACACAGTCACCTTTCCTGTGCCTGGCGGGCCGTACAGGAGCACCCCTGAAGGCCACTGCACGGGGAGAGTAGGTGGGGGAAAAGAGGGGTTGAGAGGGAGTAATTTCAAGGCGCCACAAAGAAGGGAGGGGCCGGAGTGGGCGGGCCGCACAGCAGCACACCTAACGGCCGCTGCACAGGGAGGAAGTGAGGTGAGGGAAAAAGGAGGAGGTGCAACGGGTTGGGTCTACTTCTGAGACGCCTCAAGGGAAGGGAGCAAGTGCAGTGGGAGGGCCGCTGCACAGGGAAAGTGGGTGGGGAGAAAGGGAGGGTGTGATGTGGGTCTGGTTGTGAGGTACAAAGGAAGGGGGAGCGGAAGGTGGAGGGGAAGGGGGGAGGGGAGAAAGGGGAAGAGGGGAAGGGGGAAGGGGAGAAAGGGGAAGAGGGGAAGGGGGAAGGGGAGAAAGGGGAAGAGGGGAAGGGGAAAGTGGAGGAGATGCGGCAGTGTTGGGAGGGGGAAGATGGTGAGTATGGGGCATGCATGAGATGAGAATAGGGAAGGGAGCTGAAGGTGTCTACTTTTGAGGCGCCTCAAAAAAGGGGGGAGGGTGAGTGCGGGGCATTCATGAGAGTGAGGAGGGGGACTGAAGGTGGAAGGGGGGAGTGAAGTGAAGGAGTGAAGGGAGAATGGCGTTCTGCAGACCTCGGAGGGAGGAGTGAAGTGAACTCAGAGGGAGGATGAAGAGTGAAGTGAATGAACTCAACGGAAAGACCTCATAGGAGAGCTGATTTGCTGCGTACCTGGACCAGGGTCTCGGGTTCAGGGTTTTACTCCCCAAGGTTTAAGGTGTAAGGTTCATAGTAACACGCCTTTGACGGGTGTATTGTTCGCAGTTGCACCGCACGTACCTTCAGGCCTAGCGCGGCGGCCTCTTTGGCGTACTTAATCGGCCACACTACCACTTCGCGCAGCGCCTGCATGCTTTCGTCCATCCCCGCCAGCTGCGCCGCGTTTCCCGCCGCCTCTCCCGCCGCGCTTTGCCACGTGACGCCGCCAGCGCTGGCGGCGCCATCGGACGCAGCAGGCGGAGGAGCGAGCATGGCGACTCGACGCGACGCGTGCCTAGGACGCGACGCGGGTCTGGGAGTACAGACTTGAAACCCGTCGTTTTCTCTACTGCTGCCGAAATCGGCGATGCGAGGGAGGGCGGCACGAGGAAGGGCGACGCGAGGGAGGGCGGCACGAGCGTAGCGAAAGGTGGAATGTGACTTTCTAGACGTGTCACGAGGGACTGACGGTCGGAGGGTGGTTTATTTCAGGGCATGATCTGAGGAATCGGGAATGGGGCAAAAACAAAACCGCGCGGGGCTGCTAAGAACATGCGCAAAAGGGCTGGAGAAGTGGGGTATCGATCCCCATACCTCTCGCATGCTAAGCGAGCGCTCTACCATCTGAGCTACATCCCCATGCCAGCTGGCAATCACTTCTTTTGTAAAACCTTTTAGATTTTTCGTTTGCCCAGCTGCTACGGAAGGAACTCACAGATTCCCTTGCTGGATTCCTTGTGATCATCATTGCCGTTGGCCGTTCCACCTCACATGCGCTTCCGCCTCCCCCTGCGCATGGCACTGCTCTCCGCCTCCCCCTCCCCTTCCCTCTCCGCGCTCCTCTCCTCCCGCCCCTTCTCCGCCCTCTCCCCCCTTGCTAGCGCCTCTTCCGCCTTCCTCTCCCCCAACCCCCTTCCCCTCCCCGCACTCTACGCGCCATCCGCTCTCCGCAACCTCGATCTCCGCCTCCCCGGCCTCCCCGTGCCACCCGCGCTTCCGCCGAAACACTCCCCCCATGCCCCGCATCTTCCGCCGTTCCTCGGGGACCCGTCCACCGGTTGCGGATCCGAGGGGATCCGAGAAATCGCGGTTCCGGGGGTAACTATCCCCGCAAGGGGCTTTCCGCTCCCGCTTTCCGCGCCCGCGCACCCCGCGCTTGCGCCCAAGATATGGGCGGGGGGAGGTCCGCGGACGTTCCCGGGCGGAGTGACGAAATGGCAGTGGAAGCGCATGCAGGAGAAGAAGCGGCGGGCGCGGGAGCGCTCGCAGTTGATCCGCGAGCAAGAGGCGTTCGAGGCGAAGCGGCGCGAGCAGCTCCGCATCTTGCGCGGCCCGGAGCGCCCCTGGGGGGAAGAATCGGACCGCGGATGGGGGAAACCCCCGCGGGAAGGGCGGATGCCGCCGGTTCTTCCGCCGCGATCCGCGGGGCCGCCGCTTCCGTGGGAAAAGCGGCGCGGGGGAGATGACACTGGGCGCTCATGGGGAGAGGAGGATGGGGGCGGTGGGCTTTGGAAGGGGTTGGGGGAGGAGGAGGGGACGGGGGGAATGATAGTTCCGTGGGAGAGGCAAGGGCGGAAGGCGGAAGGGGGAGCGGATTGGGGGAGCACGCGAGAAGATCAATTGGGGAGGATTGATTGGCGGAACCAGGGGGGCATGGCGGAAGGGCTGGGGGGAAAGGGGGAAGGGGGGCCAGTCCGCTGGGAGCGGCTTCCGCAAGTGCCAGAGGCGGAGCGGAGGCGGCAGGCGGGTGGGGAGCTTTTGGGGGAGAATCAGCGCAATAAGTGGGGGCATGAGGGGCGCATTGCGCCAATGGCGGGGGAGGATGTGCGCCCTTGGCAGAGGGGCGGGGAGGGGGAGATTCGCCAGTGGCGGAGAGAGGAGGAAGGGGAGATGCGCCAGTGGCGGAGAGGGGAGGAGGGAGGGGTGCGCCAACAGCAGCGGGGGGAGGAGGGGGGGCTAGTGTGGTGGGAGGAGGATGCGGAGGGGGGGGCGGAGAGGGGAATGCACCCACGGGGAAGGGGGGAGAGGGGGAGAGGGGAGGGGGGAACAGCAAGGGGGAGGGGGGAAGGGGGCGATTTCAACAATTCTCTAGATACGCGGACAACACGGGGTGGTAGTGGGGTAAGTGGGGGAAGGATGAACGAACGGGGGGGGATGGAGGAATTGGCAGAGGAATGGGGTGAAGAGGGAGAGGAAGGGGGAGAGGGCTGGGTGTGGTGGGAGGAAGGGGGGCTGTATGGGCGAGGTAGGGGAGGAGGAGAGAAGGGAGGAGGAGGAGGGAGAGAAGGCGAAGGGAGGGACGGAGGAGAGAGGAGAGAAGGTGGAAGGGGAGGAGATGGGATGGGAGCAGGGAGGGAAGGAGGGAGAGGAGGAGGAGAAGGAGGAGGGGGAGGAAGGGCGTCCTATGAAGCGCGCCAAGCCATGCAGGCACAGCCACCGGCAGCGTTTTCCACCGCAGGGGAAGAGGCAGGAAGGGGGAGAGGAGAGGGGAGAGAACGCTCATGGGGAGTGGGCGGAGGGGCACGAGGAGGGGGAGGGGGAGGAGGGAGAGGAGGAGGGAGTGGCAGGGGAAGGGGGCAGAGGGGAGCATATCAAGGTTCAACCAGGGGAGGTGGGAGGGGAGCGCCATTGGTGCTGCCTGCAGTACCGGAGGAGGTGATTGGTCGGCACGTGAAGCTCAAACACGTGGAGGATCTTTGGAACGAGGATGACGGGCCGCTGGAGAGAGAATCGGGGCCTGCTTATAACGAGTATGGAACTCCGCCTGTAGGTGCTGCTCGCTCTGCTGTTGGTGCAAGAGGAAGTGAACGAAAGGAGGAGGAAGAGGAGGAGGACAGGAGGGCTGTCTCGCGGATCCCTTGGTTGGCGTTCGCTCAAGATAATGGGGATGATGGTGACGGTAATGGTGGTGGTGACGGTGGGTATGGCAGTAGAGATGGCGGCAGTAGCAGCCGCACCAACAGAATTGGCAACGGCAGCAGCAACGGTGGCAGTGGTGGCAGTGGTGGCAGTGGTGGCAGTGGTGGCAGTGGTGGCAGTGGTGGCAGTGGTGGCAGTGGTGGCAGTGGTGGCAGTGGTGGCAGTGGTGGCAACGGCAGCAGCAACGGTGGCAGTATCAGGGGGCGTGCGAGGAGGAGAAGAAATGTGTCGGCATCTGCTGTTGCCACTGGTGTCACCATGCGCGGAAACATTCCTATGAGCATGCCCATGCGCATGGCCATGGGTATGGTCATGCCTATGCCTATGCCCATGCCCGTGCCAATGCCCATGCCCATGCCCATGCCCATGCACATGCACATGCGCATGGGTATGCCTACTGCTACCAGCATTGTTGCTGCCTCTGCTGTCGCTAGCTGCAGGCACTTTACCCTCGCTGCTGTTGGTGCTGATGGTGCTGCCATTGCTGTTGCTGCTGCTGATGCTGCTGCCACTGCTGCGCATGATGAGCCTGTTGGGGGCAGCAGAGAATACAACGCCAGCATTCCCAAGGGCGATAGCGGTGCTGCTGACAACACAGGGCGTGAATATCCTGGTGATGGACGTGAGGAGAGCAACAAAAGCGGCTCAGTGGGAGTGGAAGCAGGCAGTTTTGCTTCCTTGCCGCTCTCCCAGGCAATGCTTTCAGCCATCAGTAGAAGCATGGGCTTTAAGCACTGCACTCCCTTGCAAGCTGCTGTCATGCCGCACATACTCGCAGGTATGCTGGTGCTACTGCCATTGCCGATTCTTGAGAATTTTCAAAAATCACTCGCAAGTTCCATTGTCGTGTTTGTTCGTCGTCCCTCACAAATCTACTCCTTTTCTCCGTGACATTTCACGAACCCCTGCCCTCGTCCGATTCAGTTTGTCCACTCTCGTACTTCCCGTCTCTCTCTCTCTCTCCCTCTCTCAATGCATGCCTCTCACAATGCGTCTCTCTCACTATGCACGTCTCTGCCTCTCTTCCTCTGTCTCCCTGCATCTGCCTCCCTTTGTACAGGAGCTGATCTCTTGGTCAAGGCCAGTTCAGGCACAGGGAAAACCATGGCTTATATGGTGAGTGAGCCCAGCCCACGTGTTACGATGAATCTGTAGCTCTGACTTATAAAGTGATTCGATTTATGCTATAGTGAGGTCCCGGCACCCCCGTGGCCGAGTGAGACCAGCAGCATCCAGCTGGTCTTGGCTCCCCACTGGAGGTGTTGCTGGTGTGCGCTAACAGAGAGAGAGAGGGCCGAGAGGGCTCTGCAGCAGGCCCAATGAGTGTTTATTGCCAATATCATTATATCCCATGTCCTCCTGTTGTCTCTCACATTGCTCTGCAGATTCCCTGTCTTGACAGGCTCCTCTCGGACTTCACTAACTCCCCCACTCGCCTGCTTGCTGGTGCCGGTACCCCAGTGGAGGTGTTGTTGGTGTGCGCTAACAGAGAGAGGGCGGAGGGAGCTTTGCAGCAGGCCCAGCTATTGCTGCAGCTGCTTCAGACGCCGCAGTTGCAACAGACCGCGCAGGGGAGTTTGCAAGGGCAGGAGGGGGACAGGGGAGTAGGGACGATGGGGAGAGGAGCAGGTGGAGGGAGGAGAGGAAGAGGCAGATCGAGGCGGGTGGAAAGGGGACAAGGGAAAAGGGTGGGAGTGGGAAGCGTGGGGCAGCAAGGGGTGGGGTGGCAAGGGGTGGGGGTGCAGATGGTGGTTGGGGGGATGAGTGTGGATGGGGAGGGGAGACGGTTGCAGCAGGCGCCGTGTCAAGTGCTGGTGGCGACTCCTGCGCGGCTGTTGGAGCACTTGCAGCAGACTCAGGGCATGCGGAACCGAGTGCAGCAGCTGAAGGTATGCAGAATCTCAGGCATGCAATGCATATAGGTATGGCAGGGGGAAAGCACGCGAGTGCATGTGCTGTTGACTGTGGCTCCTGGACGGTCGTCGGAGCACTTGCAGCAGCAGACCCAGGGCATGCGAAACTGCATACAGCATTGAAGGTGAGTGATAGCTGCTGAAATTATGCTGGAGAGGAGGTGAAGGTGCATGAGAGGACTTAGAGGACTCCCCATCACATACTCTGAGCATGTATCAGTGGAATTAGGCCACATGGTTGTGGTTATTCAACTAAGCTCTGGTGCACGTGGAGTCAATGCTTCCCACTACTAAGCGTCACATGCCATGGGGTGCTTGGTTTGGAAGAGCTAGATCGCATGGTGGAGATGGGCTTCACCCGCACCATGCACACCATCCCCCCGCTCCTCCCACCTGGATGTGTTTTCATGCCTGCATTACCACCCCCTTACTATCCACCACACCATGCGTGCAGGTGCTAGTACTGGAGGACTTAGATCGCATGGTGGAGATGGGCTTCACTCACAATTCACGCCATCCTCCCGTTCCTCCCAACCTAGGGCGGATGTGATCTAATTCTCACATTGCCTACCATCCACCACTGATCATCCGCCCAGGTGCTTGTTATCGAGGACCTAGACCGCATGGTGGATATGGGGTTCACTCGCACCATACACACCATCGTTCCGCTCCTCCCACCCACCCGCCAAACGCTGCTCTTCTCAAACGCCCTCTCCAAAGAGGTACCCCAACCTGCGCATTCCCGCTCCCCTACTTTCTCTCTCTGCGCCCCACCAAATTTCCCTTCCCTTCTGTTCTTCCGTTCTCACTTTGCCAATGTTTCCCTCCCTGCCCCTCTGTTTCTCATTCACTCGGCTCTCTCCTGTGAACAGATGATGGATATTTCACAGCACATGCTCAAGGCAGATAATGTATGTGTCGATCAGGAGAGTGACTGACCGACCGGAGGTTTCAAGTGTCACTGTGAACACTGCTTTGTCATTATTGTTATAATCGGTTTACTCGCACAGGAGTTACGGTGACCATCGCAAGCTTGTGGCATCTGTTGCTGTTACAGTGAAGTACATACCGCACAGTATTCAAGGATGTGTCTTTCCCAGAATCTTGTACCACTGACTCTTTCCGTTCATGTACTGTATCATCATTACTGCTTTTGATTTCCATTTCCTAGTTTCGGTCGGCTCAGCAGCACAGCCGGCCAGAAGTCCCACACGCAGAGCACAGTACCGTACCTCCCAAACAGACCACACAAGCATCCATGCTGACCAAACCCCCCCTCTACCACGGAAACCTACAGCCCCTGCATCTGACAATAATTATTCGCTTACTGGAACTACTACAGTGCCAGTGCCTCTACAGTCTACATGCATGCATCCACTAAACAAAACAAGAAAGAAACCAGATGAAGTATCCATGCTGATCCCTTAGGCATCAGGTCAGTCCCTGTCAGCCTGATTCTACTCCTCCACTCCTCCCCACTTCCCCCGTGTCCCCACGTCCCAAACAGTCCCTCAATTCTCCAATTCCCCACAACCTGACACGATCACAACTCCTCACAGGTCGCAGCTGCTGCTCCTAGCGTCAGCGCAAGCATGCACCGGCGGAGCCAAAGGAAAGCAAGCAGACGAGCACAGGACGCTGTGACACGCTGCCTGCGATGAACACACTGCATCCTCGCCTTTCTGCACTGTGCCTTCAGCACGCCCCATGCCCGCTGGAGCCCCATGTCATACACTGAGGAGTCCCCCTGTCGCATCTCATTGCTTCCCCTGAATGCTGGTTACTAAAAGTCCAGCTCCCCACCCACCACAAGCACCACCTTACTCAAGCTCAGAATTACAAGAGCACGACAGTACAAGAGAGTGAGGTGAGTGCATCTCACCCCATTCTACTATCCAGCTTCTCTCCGCTTCCGCTGCAGTCATCAGCACCAGCCACGCTCCAGCCGGTTTTCAAGCCGACTCAAAAATCGGCTCCAGCCAAACCCTACACACGTTCACAAAGCAGACTCCCCTGCCCCCAAGACCAGTTTGAGGAAGTTCACGTCTCACAACTCGCTAGGTGAGGCGCACATAAATACCCAACAGTCCACCCTGCCTTCCCATTCTTGAGCCAGCCACTTCACTCCTCCCGTCCTCCCAGATTGAGCCATAGCCGCCACAGCAACCTAGAGCTCCTCCTGGACCCCAGAAACCATCGGAGCAACCACGTCTCCACCATGTCACCCATCTCCACTCCTCTCCACCCTTCCCCCTGCACCCCGCTTCCTCCATCCCTCTTCCTCCACTACTCCAACCCAAACCCCCCTTTTCCCGCCTCCCCAAGTCATCAAACCGCGCCACCCTACTCCCCACCCCCGCCAGCACTGGCAGCAGCAGCAGCCGACTGCTCCTGAGCCGCAGCCACGAGCGGGCGAAGTGTCTCCACCATGTCACTCATCAGCGGCCGCAGATTCGGATCCTCCTCAATGCAATGCTTGGCCGAAATCGCCAGCTTGTGCGCCGCCCGCTGCGCCCTTTCCCCTGCACCCCCCTCCGCCCCGCTCCCCCCCTGGTTAAAAAATCACCCTACTCGCCACCACCCCCAGCACTGGCAGCAGCAGCAGCAGACTGCTCCTGAGCCGCAGCAACCAGCGGGCGAAGCGTCTCCACCATATCGCTCATCAGCGGCCGCAGATTCGGATCCTCCTCAATGCAATGCTTCGCCGAAATCGCCAGCTTATGCGCCGCGCGCTGCGCCGCCTTCGTTGTGAACTGATCCAGCAGGCAGGGATCCACCAGCGCCCCAATATCCGGCTTGCGCTGGTTCAAATACTGCTGCGCCCAGGCCGTGAGCGGCGGCATACCCTGCTGGGTCTGATCCATGGCGCGCTTGCCTGTGAGGAGCTCGAGGAGCATGACTCCGAAGGCGTAGACGTCGGATTTGCGCGTGAGCTGGCCGGTTTCCATGTACTTGGGGTCGAGGTACCCCATGGTCCCCATGATGCGCGTCGTCACGTGCGTTTGGTCCGTGTCGGCCCCCTTTGCCAGCCCGAAATCCGTCAGCTTCGCAGACCAGTCCTGGGGGGAGGAGGGGGAGAGGGAGGAAGGATGAATGGTGTGAAGGGTCTGCGAGTGTCTGATCCGCGTCCGCTCCCTTGCCCAGTGCAAAGCTTGTCAGCTTAGGGGATTACTCCTGGGAGGAAGGAGAGGAGAGAAGGGGGGGATTATGATGAAAGGTTGGTTGATGGCTTGAAGTAAACCTTAAGTGGGGTACAGGTCGAGCAAAAACAAACAAACGCACACTCACATCGTCGAGCACAATGTCAGGCGCCTTGAAGTCGTGGTGAATGGCGTTGTTCTCGTGCAGGTCCGCCAGGCCTGCACAAGTCTGTGTTACTTCTTAGTCCTTTGTGTTGGTCTTTGTGTTACCAGCACGGCACTCACATCGTCGAGCAGGATGTTAGGCGCCTTGAAGTCGCGGTGAATAACATTGTTCTCGTGCAGGTACGCCAGGCCTGCAGCGGCATCCAGCGCAATGCGGAGCCGCACCTCCCATGGGAGAGGCGTGGGCGGAGTAGGGTCGTCCTCCTTGGGCTCTGAAAGGTGGGAAGGGGTGGAGATGGGAGGAGCGCGCAAGGGGCCAGAGGAGAAGCGTGACAACGATTCTTCCTCCCCTCGTGCACAAGCATGCCCTTATGCAGGTATGCCAGGCCTGCAGCAGCATCCAGGGCAATGTGCAGCCGCACCTCCCATGGGAGCGGCGTGGGCGGAGTAGGGTCATCCTCCTTGGGCTCTGATGGTGGGGAAGGGGTGGAGATGGGAGGAGAGCACAAGGGATCAGAGAGGAAGAGTGGCAAAGAGCCCTCATGCCCGCGTACACAAGCATGCCCTCGTGCAGGTAGGCCAGGCCTGCAGCAGCATCCAGGGCAATGCGCAGCCGCACCTCCCATGGCAGCGGCGTGGGGGGCGTGGGGTCATCCTCCTTGGGCTCTGATGGTGGGGAAGGGGTGGAGATGGGAGGAGAGCGCAAGGGGCCAGAGGAGAAGCGTGACAACGATTCCTCCTCCCCTCGTGCACAAGCATACCCTCGTGCAGGTAGGCCAGGCCTGCAGCAGCATCCAGGGCAATGTGCAGCCGCACCTCCCATGGGAGAGGCGTGGGGGGCGTGGGGTCGTCTTCCTTGGGCTCTGAGGGGCGGAGAGGGGCGGAGAGGGGCGGAGAGGGTTGGAGAAGGGAGAAGGGGGTTGGAGAGGGGCGAAGAGAGAAAAAAAAATATTGAAAGAGCTCCCATGGGAGGCACGCGGGGTGTGGGCTCTTTGGTAAGTGGTAGAAATCGGTACTTAATTACTCGCCTGACTTTGTGAGTAGTAGATAGCGTTATTTGAGCTTACTCTCACCACAAGTAACAACTGACTGACCTGGTAAGTGGTGGATGTCGAACCAGTCAATAATGACAGGAAGAGGTGGTAGTCCAGACTGCCCTTGCCCAGGAACTCGTACAGCAGCATACCCTCGCTCCACTGTGTAATCTTACTCAACTGACTTTACCTGGAAATTGGTAGAAATCGGAACTGTCGATAACGAGTACAGAATCACTTACCCGGGAAGAGGTGGTAGTCCAGACTGCCCTTCCCCAGAAACTCATACACCAGCATACCCTCCCCGTTCTCCGCGCAGTATCCGAGAAGCTTCACCAGGTTCTGGTGGCGCACGCGACCCAGCAGCAGAATCTCCGCCTGAGGGCGACCAAACGAGAAAGGGCGAAAGAATCAGCACAGATGCGTGAGGGAAGGGAGGACACGTGCGGGGAGGGAAGCCGCACACAACACGTACTGGCGACTAGGGCACAGACAACTCATGGGGCATGGGGAAAAGGGATAGCACCATGGGCGGTCAAGACAATGGCATGGCCCTGGAAAGCTTTCCCACGTGAACCCACCAGGCAATCCGGCTGCCTCTGGTAGCTGTTCGGGTTGCGCTCGTGCTCTCTTCTTCTACACCTCTTTCCCTCTCTTGTCATCCTCTGCCCATCACGCGAGGTCACCATCAAACCCTGCTAGCCCTGGAAACTCTTCAGCTCAACGTTTACTAGCTTCGAAGCCAAGTCAGAACGCCCACTCACCAGCCATTCCTGCTGGCCCTGGAAGCTGTTCGGATTGAGCTTCTTCACAGCAATCGGCATGGCGTCCTTGCTGCCCTCCCAGTCTTTGAGGTACCCCTTGTACACCTTGCCGAACCCGCCCTCGCCCAGCACGTTGTCGGGCTCCTTAAAGCCCTGCGTGGCCTTGTGCAGCTCCTTGAACTTGAACGTGCGCAGCTCGAACGGCGCCGCCGGCATGTCCAGCCCCATCAGCGCGTTGTCCCCCTGCGCCGCCGCCGCTGGGGGAGGTGGGCGAGGGGAGGGGGGAGTGGGGGGGTTGGGGGAAGTGGGGGGAGGGGGGCGGAGGAGGAGGGGAGGAGGAGGGGGGAAGAAGGCGGGAAGAGAGGGGACGGAAAACATAGGGAGGGAAGGGAAGCAAGGGGTGTATGAAGCGTGTGAAAAGCCAAGCACGTTGTCGGGCTCCTTAAAGCCCTGCGTGGCCTTGTGCAGCTCCTTGAACTTGAACGTGCGCAGCTCAGACGGCGCCGCCGGCATGTCCAGCCCCATCAGCGCGCCGTCGCCCTGCGCCGTCGCCGCTGGGGGAGGGGGGAAGGGGAAGGGGGGAGTGGCCAAGGAATGGGGAAAATGGGGAGGGCGGAAGGAGTGGCGGGAGTGAGAAGAGAGGAAGAGAGGGGAGGGGGGAGGTAGGAGACCGGAGGAGGACGGGGAGAGAACAAGAAAAATGGTAGTTATTTTCTGTTTATCCCTCTGCTTCTCCGGTCTAAAATTCCGCGGCCCCAGAAAAGGACGAAAAGAACTACCGAAACCACGGTATTATCACTCAACAGGACAAAAAGCGTATATACTAACATTTTCGCCGTTTGTAGCAACCCCAAAACAAAGTCAACACATGACACGGGCGAGGCTTCTCTGTTCCTTAGGTATACCGTTCTGGTAAATTACAACCTGGCGCTTCGACGAGTTTAACAAAGCACGAAATCTTGCGAGAATGTCAGCAAAAGATACGTACGAGGCTTCTCTGGTTCTTTGGGTTTCGGCGGTTCTGGTGCGGATGGCGCCGGTGCTTCATGTCCGTTCACGTTTGCTGAAAGGGGGGAAATAAGCATACGAGGAAACGGAGAAGGGTAGGAAACAAAAAAAAAAACGTGTTAAAACGGGAAAGAAAAATAACAGAGAAAGAAGCGGTCCATAGATTGCTTGTGAGAACTGCAAGCATTTGTAGTCTTTTCTATTTTCGTAGAAACAAAAAAGAAGGAACATACGGAAAGCAGGCTGGAAGAACTATGCTGCCACTGCTGCACTGGAGTGGTATAGACTTAAGTTTTTGACAATAAAGAGAAGAAAACGGGAGCTAAACAGCAGTTATTGACATTGGCGAAGGAACGGAAAGAAGCAAACTGGAGAAAGAACACACACGGCTCCGGAAACCAGAAACTATTGATAATAGGGTATAGTTTGTTGACGTTGGACGGCGCTTCTGAAATAAAGTCGGTCTGTAAATTGTCTCGGTCAAAATGGTAGCTGCAACTATCAGCGTCTTATACTTGGCGCAAGCTTATGGGATAGAGTTTCTTTCGAGGCGCTGTGTGACTAGTGGGTTCACTCAAGAGTACTTTTACGTACCGAAACTAAGAAAGTTTCTAATAATAATTACCTTTGGCGGGAGCTTCTTGAGTTGGACTTGACTCTGGAAACCGTTGCTCGACCTCCCCTCCCCCCCCTCCCCCTCCTAGACAGTTACCCATTTTAGATTGTTAGCTCTGCAGGACAGTTATGCCTTCAGCAGTCAACGTGTCTTTCCATTGATCCCAGTCTCACGAAACGGTAAGCTTTTTAAGATAGTCGACAGACGCCCTATATTTAGACCTTTTTATCTAAAAGCGATTTAATGCTGCTGCACTTGATTGCCGAGCAACGACGACTCGGGCCCACAATTAGTCGTCGAAAACTGCTGGGGAAACAAGTTTGAACGGGACAGGTTCAACTACAAGAGATGTTGCAGCGCGTTTAGTGTCTAACGGGAGACATAAACAACTATCGCTCTTCCCAGAACAATCGGCAATGTCTAGGTTTGGGTTCGGTATGCCAGCCCTAAGCTTGGGTCCCCGACCGAGGCGGGTTAGTTAGAAGAAAGGTAGGTGGGAGGGAGGGGCACGAAGGAAGGCTGTTTTGGGATTGACTTGCTTGCGGATAGCGATTTCGCGAAGTATTTCTCTATCGAGTATGTACGAGAGGGGGGGAGGGGTGGTTTTCTTTGGTGGTCGTTGAAAGGAAGTTGAAACCAGGTCATTCTCAGCCACAAACGAGTACAGCACGGTAATTACTGTGGGTTTGGGGTCGTCATTGGATGGTTCGCGAAGCCAGAATTGAATATGCCCACGAACACCTCAATAAGGGCAGGGAAGACGACATTTGCAACTGTATTTCCCTTCTGCTTTTCAGAATCCGTTGGGCTCCCGAAACACTCCTCTGGTTCGTGGACCTTGGCTAGCTTTAGGGGTAATTATGGCGCCTCACCATAATGGGTATTACGAAACGGGTAACTAGTGCTAACAATGAAAAGTTGTGGTCGTTCGTGAGTTGAAAGATCGAGCGGCTCGTTTGATGGTTGATGGACGTGACTGACTGTTTGGGGCTCGCCGACAAAACCAAGGATATATCATGACATCGATATAATGGAAGAAGTTCAAAAAAGAGAGCTTAAATATCATTGTCTCAATCTAAAAAAGTGGTAAACTATCTGGCTTCACACTAGCATCAAATCTAACTATGTCTGCTAGCCTAATGGTACATCACTCCGCCTTTGTTGGCTTACTAGCTGATTTCCGATTAAGACGAGACGCTGGTGTGGAGTGCTCTGATTGGGTGAACCTGAGAAGCACCTGCATGATGCCGAGTACGGCAGCAATGCCGACAGCGATCCATCCCAGAGTTGCCCACGTGAAGGTGATTGCTGATAAGTTGCGGGTGAAGATCCAGCCATATACGACGAAGTTCAAGGCCGTCCAGAAGCAAGTGTGCTGCATAACATACAAGACACAGGTGGGATCCACACATGGAATAGTGGAAAGCATGTGGCATGAGAAATGGTGGTACAGGCACCAACTGTATACAGAACAATGTCGTTTGGAAAGAACATTGTGCCTAAGACATGCACAAGAAAACCGAAACCGACCGACCGGCAGAGCTCGGCACCACACTAACCAGAATGGTTTTTGGAGACTTGGTCGTGTTGAGCCTCTGCTTCTCATCGAAGCCGTTGTGCTCGACATAGTAATCCAGATTTTTGTCCTGCTCGTTCCACAAAAGGAGGGGCAGGCCACACAAGAAGAGTGGGAAGGGGTGAGTGGGAAGGGGTGAGTGGGAAGGGGTGAGTGGGAAGGGGTGAGTGGGAAGGGGTGAGTGGGAAGGGGTGAGTGGGAAGGGGTGAGTGGGAAGGGGTGAGTGGGAAGGGGTGAGTGGGAAGGGGTGAGTGGGAAGGGGTGAGTGGGAAGGGGTGAGTGGGAAGGGGTGAGTGGGAAGGGGTGAGTGGGAAGGGGTGAGTGGGAAGGGGTGAGTGGGAAGGGGTGAGTGGGAAGGGGTGAGTGGGAAGGGGTGAGTGGGAAGGGGTGAGTGGGAAGGGGTGAGTGGGAAGGGGTGAGTGGGAAGGGGTGAGTGGGAAGGGGTGAGTGGGAAGGGGTGAGTGGGAAGGGGTGAGTGGGAAGGGGTGAGTGGGAAGGGGTGAGTGGGAAGGGGTGAGTGGGAAGGGGTGAGTGGGAAGGGGTGAGTGGGAAGGGGTGAGTGGGAAGGGGTGAGTGGGAAGGGGTGAGTGGGAAGGGGTGAGTGGGAAGGGGTGAGTGGGAAGGGGTGAGTGGGAAGGGGTGAGTGGGAAGGGGTGAGTGGGAAGGGGTGAGTGGGAAGGGGTGAGTGGGAAGGGGTGAGTGGGAAGGGGTGAGTGGGAAGGGGTGAGTGGGAAGGGGTGAGTGGGAAGGGGTGAGTGGGAAGGGGTGAGTGGGAAGGGGTGAGTGGGAAGGGGTGAGTGGGAAGGGGTGAGTGGGAAGGGGTGAGTGGGAAGGGGTGAGTGGGAAGGGGTGAGTGGGAAGGGGTGAGTGGGAAGGGGTGAGTGGGAAGGGGTGAGTGGGAAGGGGTGAGTGGGAAGGGGTGAGTGGGAAGGGGTGAGTGGGAAGGGGTGAGTGGGAAGGGGTGAGTGGGAAGGGGTGAGTGGGAAGGGGTGAGTGGGAAGGGGTGAGTGGGAAGGGGTGAGTGGGAAGGGGTGAGTGGGAAGGGGTGAGTGGGAAGGGGTGAGTGGGAAGGGGTGAGTGGGAAGGGGTGAGTGGGAAGGGGTGAGTGGGAAGGGGTGAGTGGGAAGGGGTGAGTGGGAAGGGGTGAGTGGGAAGGGGTGAGTGGGAAGGGGTGAGTGGGAAGGGGTGAGTGGGAAGGGGTGAGTGGGAAGGGGTGAGTGGGAAGAGTGGGGCGGGAAGGCGGAGCCAAGAGGCGGGAGAAGACGATTTGAAGATAGACTCTTCAACTCGCATCCCCTGTTGTTCCATGCCCTGGCCACAACAGGTTCGAATGATGGATGGGCATGTGCATATGCTTCCAGCCTACATGTGCACAGGACCGCATTTGAGTCGACTCACAACCACAACAGGTTTGAATGATGGATGGGCATGCGCATATGCCTCCAGCCTACATGTGCACAGGACCCCAGTCACACCCTGTATTGTGCCTCTCGCTCCGCTCTCGATTTTTTCTTTTACGATTCTTGGCACCACTAGGTGATGCCCTCTGCATCCTACGGGAACTTATCTATGGGGGCACGTGTGTATAACCCCAGACATATCTCCACCTGACGGGCATGTGCTAAAGATGCGAGGCACGTGTAGAAGATTTTTTATACATCTCAAAAATTCGCTTTCTACACAGGGCATGTGTGTATAACCCCAGACATATCTCCACCTGACGGGAATGTGCTAATGACGCGAGACACGCCCGCTGCCTCTCGCTCTGCTCTCACCTTTTTTCACGAATGATTCTTGGCACCACCTGGTGATGCCCTCTGCATTCTGTGGGACCCGGTCGATGGGAAGATGTGCATATAAACCCAGACATATTTCGGGCCTGTGCTAATGACGCTGGACACGCCCGCTGCCTCTCGCTCTGCTCTCACCTTTTTCACAAACGATTCTTGACACCACTTGGTGATGCCCTCCAGGTCCTGAGGGACCTGGTCGATGGGGACTCGCTCAAAATACACGTCAATCTGGAGGATGATGGGGATAGAAAGGGCACGGGTAATGGGGTTGGAAAGGGCAAGGGGTAGGAACGAGAGAGCAATGCCATTTGGTGATGCCTTCTACATCCCGAGGGACCTGGTCGATGGGGACTCGCTCAAAATACACGTCAATCTGAAGGTGATGGGGCTGGACAGGGTTAGGGTGGGAAGCGCAAGGGAGGGAAGAAGAGAGGGTCTTTGAAACGACTCAAACTCCACTTGGTGATGCCCTCCACATTCTGGGGGACCTGGTCGTTGAGGACTCACTCAAAATACACGTCAATCTGAGGACGATGGGGATGGAAAGGGCAAGGGGTGGGAAAGGCGAGAGGTGGGAAGGAGAGAGGGATGAGCATGGCCAAGGGGTGGGAACGAGAGAGGGTTACGAGTGGGCTGCGAGAGGTGGGTGGGAAGGAGAGACGGGTGGGAATGGTTAAGAATGGGGATTCACAAACAATGGGAACAGCCTTAGATGGGAAAAGAGGCCAGGTGGTGATGAAATGTGTTGCTTTTTACATAGCAATCACTTTAAAAAACTCTCAAAAGTGATTCCACGGGTTGGGAACAGGAGCAGGATGGCAGCACAATGGAACGTTATCAACATTCTCGTTATCTTCTTTTTCTTTTTCTTTTTAATTAATGAGATCTGCAGGTCTGTTTGTTTGTTTGTTTCTCTTCCCTGAAAAAACCGCCTCGCACAAGAAGGTGCTGAGCACTTACTTGCGAGGCCTTTCTCTTGAGGATGTTAGCGAACGTTGGGGGGGTTTTGCCCTTGGGGAAGTTGACGGTGAAGTCATAGATGGCCCCTGCATGCCCCTTGGTCTGTTCCACTGACATCACCAGACCCTGGTTCCAGAGACAGGTGTATGGGAAAAGGTGAACTTTTAAGTTGACACAGAAGTTTTCACCACGAGGTAGTTGACGGTGAAGTCATAGATAGCCGCTGTATGCCCGTTGGTCTGCTCCACTGACATCACCAGGCCCTGTTTCCAGAGACAGAGGATGGATGGATGGGAAGGGCAGAGGGACGCACAGAAGCATAATGCACTGCAACGGGTTGCAGGTTCAGAGGGCTGGGCGCCCCAAGAGCAAAAAATGCCCAAACGAGTCCATCGAGCGGCACTCCTTTCTACGCAATTTGATACACTCCCACCCACGGTGCTGCACTCCCGCTCACCCACCGTGGTGCGGGGAACGAGCACGTGACGGGAGATGGTCAGCCCGGCTTTCTTGCCGTAATCCTTCGCTGCCCTGAGAGCATGCTTTTGTGGCGCCTCAACAGTCAAATACTGCTCGGATCTGTCCACCGTGATGCACTCTTCTCAACCTTGCTGCACTCCTGTCCACGGTGCTATACCCATTCCTACCCACCTTGGTTCGGGGCATGAGCACGTGCCGGGGGATGGGCAGCACGGCCTCCTCGGCGTATTCCTGCACCGCCTTAAGCCTTTTCCTGTACCGTCCCAACGACCAAATATTGCTCGTCCCTACCCACCATGCTACACTCCACTCCCGTCCACCTTGCTTCACTCATGCCCACCGTACTGAACCGTTTTATACCCACCTTGGTGCGGGGCACGAGCACGTGGCGCGGAATGGGCAGCCCGGCCTCCTTGGCGTATTCCTGCGCCGCCTTGAGCTTCTCGGGTGTGAAGCGAGTACCCTCCATGAACAGCGCCACCCAGAAGTGCAGCGGGAAGCTGCGCAGCCGAGCATAGCCGTCCTGAGGGAGCGGAAGGAGGGAGCAGAGACAGAGAATGCCAGCGCCTTGAAGAGCAAACGGGAAATGCAAGGCGTTTTGAGCTTCTCGGGTGTGAAGCGAGTGCCCTCCATGCACAGCGCAACCCAGAAGTGCAGCGGGAAGCTGCGCAGCCGAGCGTAGCCATCCTGAGGGAGAGGGGGTAGAGGCAGAGAGTTGCAGGTGCACTGAAAGGCATCCGAGGAATGCAAGGCGCCTTGAGCTGCGCGTGCCCTCCATGAATAGCGCCACCCAGAAGTGCAGCGAGAAGCTGCGCAGCCGAGCGTATCCGTCCTGAGAGAGTGGAGGAAAAAGGGGGGATAGAGAGATTTTCAGGCGGCTGAAAAGGCAGCCAAGAGTGCAATGCGCGTTGAGATTCTCGGGTGTGAAGCGTGTGCCCTCCATGAATAGCGCCACCCAGAAGTGCAGCGGGAAGCTGCGCAGCTGCGCATAGCTGTCCTGAAGGGGAGAGAGGGAGGAAATCGAAGCAAGCATGGGAGCAGAGGATAGGGGTAGAGGGAACAGGGGATGGGGGATGGGAAGTTCAGGGGCCTTGCAACAGAGGAGTAACAGTTACTCGCACGGGTTGGTTTTTCTCACGAGTAAGGAATATTGCTTATCAAGAGACGAGAGAAGTGTTGATTTCTTACGGGTATTCCATTTGCATCACAAAAGACAGTAATACTTACGAGTATTCTGCGCTGGTCGGTGGCGTAGTTGCGGGCGAGGAAGAGGTATTCCGAGAACCACATGGACCAGCCAATCACAGGCATCCACCTGGCCTCCTCCTTGATCAGCGCTCGTGTGCCTCCGAGACAGCCGCACCTCTGCAGTCGCGTGGGGGGACAGAGAGTGGGGGACAGAGAGTGGGGGACAGAGAGTGGGGGACAGAGAGTGGGGGACAGAAGGGGGTCCAGAGATGAGGTGGACAGGAAAGGGGGGAACCGAGAGGGGGGGACAGAAAGGGGAAAAGAGAGACGAAAGTATGGAGATGAGTGGAGGGGGAGCGGGAGGGGGAGCGACTGGACTCCAAGCGACTGGGCTCCATTCTGGCGACATTTCATTCCTCGCATCGTTTCAATGCTCCCACTTCAATCTCTCCGTGAAGCTTCCGTGCTTGCATCAAACATCAATGATACAATTTATCTTCTTAAAATGCTTCCGAAGGCAGCATCAGATTGAACGCATAGTAAGAGTGATCGAGAAACACCCACCTGAGATAAAAGCCAGCCGATGGCCCAGTCAACGTCGCTGCGGTGGTTGCTCACACACAACGCGCTCTCCTTGCCTGTCAAATAACAAGAGTGGGAAGCGCAAGAAGCAACAAAGACACGCGCAGCAGGAGCGGAATGAGCAGGTAGCGAAAGGATATGCAGATGCAGAGAACATCGAGATCATCAGCAGCGTGGGATGTGTTATTCCCGTCCCGTGTGGGAAATAGTCAGGTGTTTTGATTATTTATTCACAACGTACCGAAATATGCGTGATCCTTGGGATCGCCGTACAGCCGGACCTGCGGAAGGCGTCGACACGCGAGGCAGCAGAAATACGAGGTTTCCGTCAGGGATTTGGGTCAATAACGCGTTCTAACCTGAGGAAGCAGCGTTTCCTCGCAACTCTCTATACAGTCACACGTTTAGAGCGGCGAATCGGTAAGAGCACGCACCTCGACGAGGCCCCACCACTCGATGAGCCAGATGAACATGGACCAGAAGGATCCCATGAGATACGCATTGATGACGCGGTATGTGCGAGGACTGATCGGGAATACAAGAATGGAGAGCGCGATCTGCGGAAACGGAAGGAAAAATGAGGGATATATGACGGAGCGCGAACGATGAGTGCACACATCAGTTGAGACGTGGTGAGATCGAGACCTAGGCGGTGTTTGAAGTATCGGTTGCGAGATTCGGCATATTTCCTGAGAAGCACACCTGGATGGTGGTGACTATGAGACTTGATGCGAGGAAGTTGACGGCGATCGGGATGGTGAAGATCAAGGAAGCCATGGGGGCCGTAGGGGCCCAGCAAAGATCCGGGATCCTTTCGCTAGGAATAAGTGAATCAACCAAGCAGATTCACGCTGCTTGAATGGGAAACTGAATAACGAAATTAGCCTTGGAAATGGCTAGTTACTTGGCTGGAATAGCAGAGTCTGGTGTCTGCTGATGTACGGTATTGGGGAGGCGTGGTATGTGTGGTGTGAGAGAAACCCATTCCCTGTGGGCCACCCACGACCCGTGAATCCTAGGTCTGAGAGGCTCCGAACGGCTTGGCGCGAAAATCGATGGCGAAAGGATCGAGAGAACCTGATTGGTGGAAGTTTGTTTTGTTGATGAAAGGGTGCATGGTGATGGTTCCCAAATTTTGATGAGGTTCGAGTGTAGCGTTGCTTCAAACACTTCTGTGCCCACATATAGAATATATATAGCCCAGTCTTTCCATGCAAGAAATCAAGAGGGGTGATAACCACCTTCCCAATTTTAGTCTCCACCCTAATTCTAATATTTCCCCTCCACTGAACAAACTTGCACCATTATTGGCATTTCTCAAAGGTAGCAAGTTATTGCACCATCTTTTTCAAGAGGACCCGAAGCTAACAACTCCCAAGATTCTAGGCCTCCAAAATCACAAAAATCCTAAGCTTCTAGGGGGTGATATCCAGGGAATCCGGGATCAGAAACCCAGCATCATGCAGAATCATTCTACTGGACCTTCAGATTCTAATCCATCACATGCAGAGCTCCACCAGCAACATCCTAGTTCCAAGGCATTAGAAACCCAGTATCAAGCACAACCAGATTAGTGAACCTAGAGACTCTAATCTAAAACCCGTAGATCTTCCCCAGCACCATTCTGGTTTCCAGCGGAGTCTTGCCGTCAGAAGTAAAGGTTCACCTGCAACCTTCTCCACCCATGTCCTGCTTTATATAAACATACACACAGCATCTTATTGTCTAGTGAACTATATTAAGGCAAGGCCACAAAGAGAACAGAAGGATAAGGCAAGCTAGACGAGACGAATAGGAAGAGAACAAGAAAAGCATGCAGGTTCAGCATTGATGAAGTTAAAATGTCTGGATTTAGGTTGGTTCCCTCTAACCATGTGCAATGTATTCGGTACATTTCAAATTAGTTGCTTGTGGGGTGAGCTCAAAGTGATTGGGAAAAGGTGAAGCCTGTTGACTTTTGGGAGAAGTCATGCTAAAGGCGGCACGATGTCCAGGGAGTTAGAGGTCCAAACTTGGCCGATGTCGCGCGTGTGAGACGAGCTCGAAAAATCCGCTCATCACCTGACTGAGAGGAAGACGCTTGAAGGTGCAACGGCCAGTAGATCGTGTTGCGAGAAGTGAGTCACTAGCGTGACTTGCGCAGAATGGCAGTGTGAGTATCTTAGAAGCGTCATGGTCTAGTGTGGGGTCCTGCCTTGGCCGATGTCGCGCGTGGGAGACGAGCTCGAAAAATCCGCTCATCACCTGTCTGAGAGGAAGACGCTTGAAGGTGCAACGGCCAGTAGATCGTGTTGCGAGTAGTGAATCACAAGTGTGACTTGCGCAGAATGGCAGTGCGAGTATCTTTGAAACGTCGTGGTCTAGTGTGGGTCGCCTCGCCGCGTCGTGATATCATCGCACGTTCACGTTAGTAACATTGTTGGTCGGCTCCCCGTGTCGTGTATGAAAGGCTGCTGCCTTCCAGCGAATGTGGAGTTACTCGTTGAAGCTTGATGCTTGGCGCCGTGAAGAAGCAAAAAACGGATCGCAATGGATCAGCGTGCCCTCCCTGCCAGATACAGTGTAACACAGCAAGATATCGCAATTCCCATCATTCCCCCCTCACCTGCCGCTTACCGTGTTTGTTGCTCTAGACGAACAGCACCATAACATTCAAACGCGCGTTTCTGGGGCAACCTGAGGTCGGAACAAGTCGTGGTTCTTGTTCAGCCAAAGGCGCTTGTGCGCAGCCCAAGAAAAAAGAGCGAGGGGGCCAAACTCGCGATGCATTTCAGCATCAAAATCAATGGCTGCGAGCCTTCTAAAGGCGCTTCGAGCGAGGAATGACCTCAGCTCGGCTGCACTGGCTGGACGCACAGTGGATCATCAGAGCTAATCTCTGGGAATGAATACGGGCCTGGAGAGACCACAAAACTGACTAGAGCTACTAGGAGAGCTTGAGAACGAGGCTTCTAGGAAAACAAAAAGAAATCATGAACTGGAACAATACGTGGGATGGAGAATTCAGGACTGCTATTTATACATGGCCAAATGCCTTGAACTGCTGTCACGCGTTCCGCAGCGCTGCGGTATGGCAAGATCAAGATTCCTCCATAGAGCAAGAACCTCCCGCAAGCAAGCCGCAAGAAACGGTCGTACTGGCCTAGACTAGACGGAGATTTTCGTGCTTCCAATTCGGACATCTGTCTAGCAGCCGTGGCGTGCGCAAAGCATTTTTGCCCGGCAAACCCTGAGACCTGAAACGCGTTTCGCCCAGCCAGTCCAGAGTTTTTACGTTTTCAAAGCATTTTGTTTGGCTGACCGCCGTCAGCTGGGCACAGGGGAAAAACTGAAAGTCAAGCAGGGAGGAGTGTGTGATTGGCTGGTTCAGTCGCAAACGCGAACGAACGCGAACAATTATCACGCAAAATTATCGTGAGCAAGATTCCAGCTTTGGCGCTGCTGGGTCTTTGAGGTCCTGCTGCAACCGCAAGGCCCCTTCAATTTCAAGCGGTTCGCTACGAGCTCCGCAAGGTACGGCGACTGCCTTATTGTGTGCTTGCCTAAGTCTTACAGTAAGAAACAAAATGTAGAGTATTTATTAATTCGGTACTTCAATGGGCACTTCATGCATACTTTCCAAGCAAACATGCACTTCATATACTGCTCCTTTATGAGCATTTTACACTCAAGATGAAAGCTACCACATACATTTTCAACTGATAGTTCCGAATCACTTATTCATGGCATCCCACTTGGCACTGGAGTGCTTTCAAAAGTCCCTCCCACTGATGCTCGAGCAGTGAGTGAACTTGGCAGGGTGTCTGGTGATGCAGCGTTGCCCACACCCTTAGTAATGTCACGCTTGCATAGCGGACACGTCGGGTGCGACTTCAGCCACTTGTCAATGCACGCCGCATGGAAGTGGTGCGAGCACGGTAACTCGCGTAACACACACCCATCCTCATACCTCACAAGGCACACACAGCACTCAGCATCCTCTGCCTCCACCTGCCTCTGCCTTGGTGGGTGGGCCGAGCCGACCAATGACATGACGCCACCTGTCTCTTCCTCCACCGTCACACGGACGTCCAGCGCATCGCCACTTGGACTATTTCTGCTGCTGCTGTTATTTCCACCTGCCCGGCCTGCCCGCCTCCAGAGCCCAGCAGCCAAGCCAACCGCGTTGCGCCACATGGCACCGGCAAAGGCAGAGGAGGAGCAGCAGGGGCAGGGGGCGGTTCGGGTGGCAGGAGAGGAGGAGAACGAGGTGGAAGAGGAGAGGGGGGGTGAAGAGGAGAGGCGGAAGGAGGAGGAGCAGGAGTGGAAGGGACAGATACTGCTGGCTTGTGAAGAGTTGCTGGCGGCGGTGCGGTGGCGGTAGAACTTGAACTTGGGCAGAGCCTCGATCTGCTCTCGAGACGCTCCTTCCTGCAAAGGGAGCAGCACGGCACGAGATCAGACGGATAAGAGGAGTTGTGGCTGGCAGCGGTGCGGTGGCGGTAGAACTTGAACTTCGGCAGAGCCTCGATCTGCTCCCGAGTAGCTCCTTCCTGGAAAGAGAGCAGCATGGCACACGGTCAAATGAAGAAGATGAGATGCGGACAAAACAGGTTGTCACACTCACACTCACACTCACTCACACTCACTCACACTCACACTCACACTCACACTCACACTCACACTCACACTCACACTCGTTACTATCTTACAAATGATGCAGCCGCACATGGCCCTAAACCCTGGAAGTATTCATCGCTCCCACTCCCACTCATCACATTAATCACATTCACCCTGTGCTGCCAGCTCACTGTACTCGCCTGGTCTGCGACTGCATAGATGAGAGCGATGATGCAGGGCAGGCAGCAGCACACGGCCATGCCCACGACACACGCCACGGCCACACAGAACACGACGAAGAACACATCAAACGCCAGGAAGGCCGTGGTTGCCCTGATGTAGGTATGGGGGGATAGAGGGCGGTGGAGAGGGGTGTTGGCCATGCAAACAACGCACGCCACGGCCACACAGAAGACGGCAAAGAACACATCAAATGAGGTGAAGAAAACGGCTATGGCCACATGCCACGACCACCAGGCGAAGATGGGTGCCTGGATTCAAGTGAGTTAGATTGAAGGTCTCACCAGGATAGGATGGGAACGTCTTTGAAGGAGTGGAGAGGATCCAGGTGAAGCCGACGAGCCGCCAGGCGAAGGATGGGTGCATGGATCGACGCGCATTACCAGGAGAGTCACTAATATGAGTGGGGACCATGAGTCTCACCAGGAGAGGATGGGCGCGTCTTTGAAGGAATCGTCGATGGTGGAGAGGATCCAGGTGAAGCCGACGAGCCACCAGGCGAAGGAGAACATTGTGTTGGCTGACTCTATGCGCCGCGCCAGGCTGGAGTAGGGTGAGAGCGAGGGAGGAAAGCATGAGAGAGTATGAGCGCAAGTGATCTTGAGCTACCAGGCGAAGGAGAACATGGTGTTGGCGGACTCTATGCGGCGAGCCAGGCTGGGACATGTGAGAGGGTTGGTGGATGGAGCACGAGGGAGTGGAGAGGAACACACTGAAGTGCTTCGTACTTCTAGTGACTAAAGCTATTACACCATCTGCTCTCGAGTCGACTCAAAAGCACCTCTGGTGACTGGAGCTAAGAGCACCATCTGATTCTACTAGCTCACCTCTGATCCGAGTCGTCCGATTCGCTCTCATCCACACCGTCCCTCACCATCATCTCTTCATCCTCCACCGTAGATCCTTCATCACCCATCGTTCTCCTACCCACCCTCCTTGCCCGCCCATCCCCCCTCCCATCCTCCCCGCCCGCCCTCCCCTCCCCCAGAAGCCCCTCAAGCGCCTCCCCCTCACGCGCTTCGCTTTCCAATAGCAGAGACCGTCCCGTTATAAGCACAGACGCTGCTTCGTCTAGAGTCACCACTCTACCCGCGTCCCTCCTGCGTAGAACGGAAACTAACTCTTCGTCTTCCTCCCTTCCGCTCCGGTTCCCTGCCCTTTCCGCATATCCCCTACCATCCCCGCTCTCCCCTAGTGCCCCCCGTTCCCCTGATTGGTCCTGCGGCGCATCAAATCGTATCCCCTCCTCATCCCCCGCCGCCTCCCCGGCTTCTCCCCTCCCCCGATTCACGCTCCCGTCAGCCCCGTTCGGGCCCCCGCTCCCCCTCTCGATCTCCGTCTCTCTCTCGCGTCCCCTGTCCCTCTGCTCTCCCCGGGTGCGCCTTCCCCCTCTCCCCCTCCCCCGCGCCCGCCTCCTCCCCCTGCGCTGTTCCCGCTGCTCCCGCTGCTCCCGCGCGCGCCGGCTCTCCCGCCGCTCGTGTTCCAGCAGAACGCAGATCACGTGCACGGCGCATTGCACGGCGTAACCGAGTAACCAGATGGACAGCGGCGCGGGCGGGCGCTCGTTGCGCGCCTGGCTTATAAAGAGCGTGATGGCCGTGACTACAACGAAGGCGAGGTTCCAAAACGCGTCGAGGATGACCACGGGGCGGGAATACGCCCACGTGCTGGGTTGCGGGTCGGGCAGCTGGAAAGAAAAAGAAAGAAAAAGAGAAATGAAGAATACGTGTAAATACGAAGCCGACAAGGGGAGATTAACGAACAAAGGCAGAATCTAGCACAAGAACTACCACACGGATGGTGCAGGGGTCGGTTCGGGCCGGACCTGTTCCGGAGCTGAGGCTCGGCGAGGCGACTGCCGGCGGCGCATGAGCTGCTGCATCCCGACCTGCTGAATCAGCCTCGCGGCGTCCAGTGCCATTGCGCCACCTGTCCTCGACCACGGCTGCGCCGCGTCGCTCACCGCGAACTGCGGCGAGGGCGGGGACGGAGAAGGCGTTTCGCCGGGAGTGGACGTGAAGTCATCGCGAGGAGTTGACGGATCGCTGGATGACGCGTCGAAAGGAAGGAGCGCCTCGGTTTCCGAATCAGCGGCGCCGGTGACAACTGTGGCGGCGAATTCGGCCGCGGCGGATTCGGCAACGACAACGGCGGCGGCGGCGGCGGCTGCGGTGGCGGCGGTGCCGTTTGCGATGGTGAGACTATCATGGCTGCTTCCGTAGCTATTGCTGTTGCCGCTGCTGCTGCTGCTGCTGCTGCTATCGTCGCCTCTTCTTGCCTGGCTGCCGCAGTCAAGGCCGCCCGCGTGGCCCTCTTTCCTGTCGGCCATGCTGGCCGTCGCTTCCCCTTTCCTGACTACAGCCAACTATTTCAGCGGGTAGCTCTTTGTTTCTTATAACCGGCGAATTGGAAAAGGGCGTACGAACTTGACGCTAACGCTAGGAGATGCAGGAAGCCTCGCGTGCTCCTGGTCGGTGGATGAGTCGCGCTACGGAAGCAACGTTTGCGTTCTAAGGCGCCTAAGGGTCTGCGTTCTTCGGGATTTCGTAATGCGACTTCTCAATCCACCATTTTTCCGGATTCTTTTTTCCTGTTCGACTAGCAAGACCGCGGGTTTCTAATATACCTGCCTGGGCTGAATCCCATTGACATGGACAGCTAGACGGTTCACCGGCTTCGGAACTGCGCGCATTCACGGGAGGCAAAGCTATGGTAAGTCAGCGAGTGGAGGGATTGATTCACGCTATTGAAAACGACGCATGCAGACTTGGTGGGTGGTGCCGCATCGTCCACCCAGGGCCACACATGGAGGAACACGGGAAGCTAGGTGAGGAAAAGGCTGCAGAGAAATGGTGGTCACATCCTCAGCAGCCTAGATCTTCGTTGGGAGGAGCGCATTCATCCGCCATGCGTCAGCAGGCGGGGAGATCTGGAAAAAAAAGGGAGAGCATGGGGCGGGGTGGCGAGGCGAGGGGATAAGGATGGGGGCGGAGGAGGCGAGAGCAAGAATAGGGGCGAATTGCGGGAGAGAATGGAATGAGTTGACACGTGCGGCGGCAACCTAGGGGCAAGCGCTATGTAGGGGGGATTTGCAGGTGAAGGTTGGAAGGGAGCAAGCCGCAGATTTGTGCGAAAAGAGTTGATTTGGCGATGTGATATACGGCCGAGATGTGCGTCAGGTCCGTGTGGAACGAATTGTGATCTCTCTTATTGGTGGCGACGGGATCGCTCGCTGACGAAATTCTGAGCGAACTGAATGGTGGTTCGGCTGGGGGTGCGAACAAGGGCCTAAGTTATCAGGGCAATTACCCTGTTTTGACTGAAATTATAGGGTGTTTTTTCAAGGAGCCCTGATTTTCATAAGGTTATTTCTGGACCAGCCCGTAAAACTGAAGGGTGATTATTGAGTCAGCTCGGATCTCTCCGGGGAGTTCTCAAGGGGACCCGTATAATTTTAGCAGACATGTTCTCCCCGACCTGCCTTGCATTCCTCTCCGTCTCCCTCTAAACACACGTGGGCCACTTTTAGTGAATTTCCTAACCACTCTCTCCTTGTTGGCCTCCAAGTGTCTGATTGCCCTGTTCTACGTCGACATGGCTTAGAAGGCCAATAAGGAGAGAGTGTCTGATTGCCCTGTTCTCCCTATGTACTCTTCCTCATCGTATTTTTTTCGAAGTCTACAATAAGTATCTCGCTCACCCCTCCAGAGCCACTCCATCTCCAATCTCCCCAGCCCTCGTGCAACCCACTGTGAGTTTCCCGCGAAATTCTGGTAATGCATGTTTTCAGGCCTTTTCTGGCTCGAACCCGGATTCGTCAAGGTTTTTTTTCCGCTGGCTCGGATTTTACAGGGTCTTTTTCACAGGGGCCCGGATCGTCCGAGCTAGCAAAAATCCTAGCAATAGCCCTGGTGCGAACGCTATGACGACCCGCGAGGCGGCGTTGGTTACCGAGGCGCTTGCGCACGTGGCGACAAATGATTAGTCTATTTGCGCCCTCGCGCCTCGTAAGGGGGGCTCCACGGCGGCTTGGCAGGATACGGACAACGAGAATTTTCATACGCGATTCTTCAAGCGAACAAGCAACCAGTCAAGACTGCGGATGTTTTGCAATTTCTACCGTATTTTTCATACGAAATTCATCCAACAAAGAGAGAGGTAGGAAAGAAAAAGAAAAAGGAGAAAAAAAAATACATTAATAGAAAAAAAACGCCGACGACGATGACAAAAGAATCCAGGTATGGAGTACAAGTTCCCCACCACAAAGTGGGAGGGGGGGAATGCGTCCGCACCACAAGGCCACAGCTTGCCTGCCATAACCGCTTTCACGTCAGCCACATTGCGAGGAAACCTAGTGACCTCTGATGTACGGTAATCATCTGAGATGGGCAAGGCTACATCATCAGTGGAACGCGTCCAAGGCAGAAGGCCAGGGCTTGCCTGCCATCACTGCTTCGACCTCAACGACATCACGTGGGCACTTGGTGAGGTTGTCGATGCCCTCTGCTGTCACCGCCTGAGATGGCCAGGTGAGACAGAAAGGCAGACAAGTGAGGATGTGGGAGGCAGGATGCCTGGATGCTTGCGTGCTTGGTTGTTTGGTTGTTTGGTTTAAGGCTCGTATCGGAAACACACAGAGATGGAGGGTTTCTTGCAAAAGCATGGAACATGCAGTCTGAAGCCTGATCTATTCTCAAAACACACCACTTCACCGCACACCACCCCCACTCACCACGTCATCTTCCAGTCTCACACCGCCGAAGCCTCGGAACTGAGCAATTCTCTCAGGCACTAGGTAGCGGGCCACAGCTGGGTCAGCAAGAGCAGGATCCAGCAGAGAGTCGATGAAGTAACAACCCGGCTCCACAGTGATAACCTGGTGATGGTGAAGGGAAGAGGGCGCGAGGAGACAGAGTGTGTGTGAGGTTGGAAGGAGTGAGGGTGAGGGGAGAGAGAGGATACATGAAGGGAGTAAATGCGGAGCAGGGATAGAGACGGGGAGCATGGAAGCTAACCGCAGCAAGAGCAGGGCCAGGCAGACCTGGTTAGCGTGAGGTGGGAGGGATGCAACGAGGTGATACAGGGAAAACAGGCTGTGCCCACACCACCATCCCATATCCATGCCAACCATGCATAGCATTCCCTGACATGCCAACCATGCAATATCCATTCCAACCATGCCCCACCGTGCCGTACCATGCCAGGTTCCAATGTGCGTGTTGTGCGAAGAGACTTGGCCCCTGGCTCAGTCGACCTCTCTGCCTGCAGGTGGTTCAACGCAGGAAGCGAGAGGGATGGAAGATACCAGAGAAGGAGCAGGGTGCAGGGGAGCGGGGTGGTTGAGTGGGTGGGACAGTGCGGTGGGGGAGAGAGGGGTGGGCGGAGCAGGATAGGTGAGACATATACTTTCGTAGCTATTGCAGCTTATTTGGGTGCATCCAAGAGGTATCAGTTTACAGCTGTGGCACACAAGAATGAGTGGAGCCATTACATTGTTGTACCCGCCAACATCATGCGTGTCAATGCCCAGAAAGTGGCCCAGCCCATGCGGCATGAACATGTGATGCACACTATCACCCATGCACATCCTGTGCACATGCGTGCTACCAGCACGGTGTTAATAGTACTAAGAGGTTACATTGTTGTACCCGCCAACATCATGCGTATCAATGCCCAGAAAGTGGCCCAGCCCATGCGGCATGAAGAGAGCTCCCAGGTGCTGCTCCATCATGTCGTCAATTGACCTGCACACGGATGGTAGTATAAACCTCAAAAAGATGTTGAGGAGCCCCAGTCATTGTATGGGATGTACAGAGTAAGTTTGAGGGCACATCAACAAGAAGGATGCTAAGTACACCGCGGACTTCTCTACGCGAAGAATGAAAAAAAAACATGAGCAGCGAATTTGCAAAACACGTAAAACATGTCAAGAGACCAGCATGCGGTGTCATCATGATGATGCGGTGGAGAGAGAATGCGGTACAGTCATGACGACATCAATAGTCCAGCACACGCGTTAAACAGCCGAACCATCCATGTCCTCCTCACATGCCACACCATAATCTACCGTCACCCATAGTCTATTTGCGTGCTCCTAATCACCCCTGCTCTTGTACCCTTTGCCCGACCTCTCACCCGCACACTGTGCCACCACCTTTCCCACACAAACTTTCCACCAACCGACCGTCGCACTCACCCCTGTAGCAACCCCCCTTCCTTGAGGTGCTCCAGAATCGTGCGCTCCGCCAGCCTGGTGTGTGGGAGGGAGGGAGGGCGTGGGGAAGGGAGGGAAAACCTTAGGGTCGATCTCAACTCACACATGCAGCAGAGCCCCCCTTCCTTCAGGTGCTCTGATGAATCGTGCGCTCTGATAGCCTGATGTGTGGGAGGGAGGGCGGGAGGGGAGAGGACGATACGAAAATACGGGCAGAGAAAAAATTCCAGGAATGGGGTGGGGATACGGAAAGAAGGGGAGAGACCGAGCGGAAGAAAAAAACACTAAGGTGCACAATAAGGAAGGGGACAGTCTCCCTTGCAACCAACCGCTCCCCTTAAACTGCAACCAATTTCCCTGAAAATGCAACCAATGCGTTGACTCGCCTGTGCATGTCCACCCAGCTGACTCCTGGCTTCATTGCAGCAAACACCGCCCTCTGTGCTGCCAACACCGCCTAAATAGGCGAGAACGAAGTGGGAAGCACGAGAGAAGAGAAGGGACGAGGACTGAGCAATTGAACAAGATTTTAGGACAGTTCAATTGCTCAGGAACTGGGCGAAGTGATTTTCAAGGAGAAGGGCGGGGGAAGCAAGGGGGCCATGGGGGACTTCTCGTGAAGTGCTGGAAACAAAATAAAGCTTGGGGCATTTTTTGGAGAGACGACATAAATAGGGCCACGGGCAGGAAAAAACTATCCAAGGGAGAAAGAAGTAGAAGAATCTTCTCGTCAGACCCATGAGTGAGTGTAAATGCATTGACCCCACTAACCTCATACACCAGCCGTTGGTCTGCACTGAATTTGCCATTGACCTGCCATGGCATGGCATAGCATGGATAAAGGCATGGAAAAAGGAAAAGGGCATGGTATGGCATGGCATGGCATGGCATGGCATGGCATGGAAAAAGGCACCACACGTGGCAGTTGCGAGGGGTGGTGGTGGATGATGTGTGGTGGCACGGGATTGGAATCACGATTGCAGGATTGGAATCAGATTGGAATCAGGATTGCAGGATTGGAATCAGGATTGCATGATTGGAATCAGGATCACGTGGCAGTTGCGAGGGGTGGTGGTGAATGATGTGTGGTGGCATGGGATTGGAATCATGATTGCAGAGAGGTGAATGCCACAATGACACCACAGCAAAAATTAAAAGCAAGTCGTGACGGAACGGCATGGAATGCTAAGGCATGTGTGAGCCATACAGGGAAGGAGCATGTGATGTCAGCGCCGTATGTGAAGTACTCTGCTCCCATGTCTAGAAGCGCCATGTCGCCATCCCTGCACTCCTGCACGACACAAGGGTGGGGGCAGAAACGTCAAAACCACACAGGGAAAGAGCAAACTGATGTGAGAGCCATGCAGGGAAGCATGCGGGAAAGGAGCAGGTGATATCATTGCCACACAAGGAAGGAGCAAGTGATGCCAGCGCCATATGTGAAGTATTCAGCTCCCATGTCTAGAAGCGCCATGTCGCCATCCCTGCACTCCTGCACAATGCAAGGGCGCAGAAATGTGAGCATCATAGGGGGAAGGAGCATGTGATGTCAGCGCCGTATGTGAAGTATTCAGCTCCCATGTCTAGAAGCGCCATGTCGCCATCCCTGCACTCCTGCATGACACAACAGTGGGAGCAGAGTGGGAGGGTGGGAGCAGAGTGGGAGGGTGGGAGCAGAGTGGGAGGGTGGGGGCGTTAGAGCTTGGTTATGTTTGGATAACTGGGAGGGGTAAGCCTCGTGTTCAGATGCGGCACCCCCCCCCAGCCACTCATGCTACCCGCACTGTCAGTCTTACCTTATTATACAGAAGGTCATGGGTGGTATTCTCACCCTATCGTTGGGAGCGCCTGCATGGCCATAGTGCAGAATGCTGCTGTTGGGACCCGTGCCACATATGCATGTGTACCCGGCTAAACGACTTCCCTCAGCCACCTGTCCTGCCAGCCACCCGCACTGGCAGTCTTACCTTCAAAACGAAGGCCATGCGCAGCTCACTCACCCGGTCGTTGGGAGCCGTACCGCATATGCATGTGTACCCAGCCGTGCGACACCCATGCGGTCAGGCTATAAAAATTGATGGGTCTGGGGAGTTGGCAGCTCACACACCCTATCGTTGGGAGCGCCTGCATGGCCGTAGTGCAGGATGCTGCTGTTGGGACCCGTGCCGCATATGCACGTGTACCCGGCTAAACGGCACCCCCCAGCGACGGCTGCATGGTGCAGGAAATCCGCCTCCATCTCGTATTCCATCATGCCTGGCCGCACTTTCCTCATCACCTGAAAGCGCAACCAGGGTGGAATGAAAGAGGGCCTTCAACCTCACTCACTCGCATGGTGCAGGAAATCCGCCTCCATTTTGCATTCCATCATCCCCGGCTTGACTTGCCGCATCACCTGAAAGAGCAGGGTGAGGTGACACAGGGTGTGATGAGATGGGTCATTCATGTTCAGTCCCATGGTGCACGAAATCCGCCTCCATCTCATACTCCATCATGCCTGGCTTGACTCGCCGCATCACCTAAAATGAAAGAGCAGGGTGAGGTGAGACATGAGGTTGCGATGAGACTCCTTCCATGATTGATTGCACGGTGCAAGAAATCCGCTTCCAACCTTACTCCATCATCCCCAGCTTCACTCTGCGCATCACCTGAAAAAGCTGGGTGAGGTGAGACAGGTGCCCATCTCCCTCCTCCCCCCTCCCCCATCATCCTTAATCACCCATCTCAATCCATCTGAACCTACCTCCACATGAGCGTCAGATGACACAGCAGCAGCATAGCGCATCACGCGAATCTCCTCCTGGGATTTGATCACCCGGCATTCGCTCAGTTCTGGGTGTAACACCGTTAGGTCCTGAGGGAACTCGTCTATGCCCTGGTGGTTGCACACGCATGGGAGGAGAGGAGAGGGGAATCATTGGAGCAGCATGACGCATCACGCGAATCTCTTTTGGAGATTTGATCACCCGGCATTTGCTCAGTTCTGGGTGTAACACCGTCAGGTTCTTCTGAGGAAAAGCGTCTATGCCCTGGTGCGGGGGGGGGGGGGGGAGAACACGGCCAAAAAAGTAGAAGATGCTGGAATCAGATCACTGCCCCTAGACAGTGGCTGGCCTAGACATGCAACACGTATGCACAAAAGGCTCGTTTGCAACTCAGCGCACGTGCCCTCTCAAAGCATATACCTTTAGATAAAATAATGTGCGCAAATTACATCGAAGTGGGCTGGCTTGCAGGAGTTGCCGCTGCCTGTGTTGATACCCTTCGGGAGGAAGAGAGTAGGCAGGCTGCCGCTACTTTTGAGGTGCCTCAGAAACCAACTCACATTGAAGTGGGCTAGTTCCGCTGTCTGATCTGAGTTGATCCCCTTGAGCAGGAAGAGAGTCAGAAGGCTTCCGTACAACTGTCAGGTGCCTTAAAACAAAACCGAGCTCACATCAAAGTGTGCTGGCTTGCAGGAGTTGCCGCTGTCGGTGTTGATCCCCTTGAGGAGGAAGAGAGTCGGCAGGCCGCTGCCACTCCCTGCTGCTGCTTTCAGCACTGCTGCCACGTCCTCGATATAGTGCACCTCGTCCACTCCATACTTGTCCTAATCACCAGGTACAAGGGAAAACGCATAGATAGAGTGTGAGTGCTGGTCGTCACTGCCACTCCCTGCTGCTGCTGCTGCTGCTGCTGCTGCTGCTGCTGCTGCTGCTGCTGCTGCTGCTGCTGCTAATGCTGCTGCTGCTGCTGCTGCTGCGTTTCAGCACTGCTGCCAAGTCCTCGATAAAGTGCACCTCGTCCACTGCATACTTGTCCTGCTAACGACACACATATGGCAGGCAGAAGACACAGACGGAATGAGGATGCCAAACTGAATCTGCCACAATCTAATGAAGCACATTCGTGAGGCGCCTCACATGATAGACTTCATCTGCCACCTCACAACAAATGAAGCACACATCTACAAGACGAAGTACAGAAGCAGCAGACAGAACAGCTGACAAGTGAAGCACACAAAGGTGCAGGAGTAAGACCCCAAAGCATGGCAAACCCCCACAATAACGGCCAGAAATTAGCTACTGTACCTTGATCTGCTGGTGAGTGTGCAGAGGGCCCATCCACACAGCATAGGAGTCCGGGAGGTGAGGCATGAAGAGGAACGACCGCGCTGGTTTCACTGACACGTCCTGCAAAATTCACATGGTGAGAGGGAGGGAGGCGCACGCAATTCGTTTGAAACAAACAAGCCAAACGCTTGTTGAACTGACACGTGCTGCAGGGTGGCAATGGTGAGAACGGAAAGGCTGGAGGGTGTCAAGTCAAACTACGCCCTATTTCCCAGCCGATATTCCAAGGCGCCTAAAAAAGAATACGCCGTATGTCCCAGCCCAGCTAGCATGTTTAGCAACACGTATCACAGCGTCATAGAAGTTGAGCTGACTCAAAAGGAATCAATTTAGTATGTCTACAAACAATACCACAGCGAAAAAAACAAAAATCTAGGCTCGAGAACCTCAACGACTTGAGCCACTTCAAATCAAGCCTAATACCATAGTTCTTTAATCGCCTAAAAATTGGCTACTACACCTATCAACGCATACATACCACAGCACCATAGAATCCAGGCTCGATGACCCCAAAGAGATACGAGAAGTAGCTCTCCTGCCTGCGATGTGATGCCATGCCATGCCATGCCATGCCATGCCGTGCCATGCCATGCCATGCCATGTCGTCATACCATGCCATGCACCATGTCAGATCAACCACGCATCGGGCATGCGTTGCAACAGGAGATGCACGGAGGATACGGGAAAGGGACATCACACCATCAAGGCAGGAGATAGTACCAGTCACAAGTGATACTGACAACAAACACCTGCTCCAGACCAGACACAACACAACAAGCCGGTAAACGCGTCCTGCAATAGACTAGGACTGCGGGAGCTGACTCACCTCCTCGCGTCACCTCGCGTCACCTCGCCTCACCTCGCCTCACCTGCACCGACCAAACGCTCCTCCCCTCACCTGAAGACGTCCTCGTGGTCGGTGCAGTGGCGCATCTGAGACTCCCCGCCCTGCTTGCATGGAGAGGGAGATGAGACGGAAAGGGAAGTGTGATGCGGATGGTAATTAGGCAAGAAGAGAGTCATGATGTACGCTGTAGCGTGAAGGGTACGGAATGGTGAGCAGGGTCATAATTCCTGTATGAAATTACATTCCAGCCCGTGCAATCACTAGGAAATGATGAAGATAAGTTCCAATACGTTACTGCTTCCCACCTGTAGGAGCACGATGGCATGTTCTTCCCGGCCTTCCAGCCTGGCTCGCATCCGCTCTGCGAGCTTCTGACGGTTTTCATAAAACATGGTAACAGGAACTTTGAGGGTCTGCTTTCCGCGCCAGAGGAACCCGTCGGACCACGAATCCGCGAGTGAGGTGCTGGTGGTTTCTTTCGATCTGTGCTCTCCGTTCGCGGCCATGGTGACAAATCTCGCAAGAAGGAAGTTGCAAATGTGAACACAGGGGAAAGGCTAGTGAACTTGAGGCTGCTGCAGCCTTTACGACAGGTTTCAGGAACCCACAGGGAAAATGGAGAAATAGGTGGGAATGTCCTTTGGGAAAGTGATCTGGAATTTGTACGCATTATGGGTGTCTTTCGGTATGGACAACCACTCGTTTCAACATCTACATATTTCTCTTTCAGATTTATACAAGCTTCTGAGACAGGTAGTACTGTACTTGCTAACTTCGAGGTTGTAATGTGAATCCACGTCATTGCCGTCAGTGACATCGTCCAACGACACGTGGAAAAGCATATTCTGCGAAACGAAAACACTGGATTCGCGCGTCGATTTTGAGATTCTGCCTGCTGTTTCCACCCCAACGCACGAAAATGTGAATCACCAATCAGGATCCAGCGTGACTGGACTTCGCCTCTCCAGCTGGCATATCCACATCAGCCTCATCTTTACGCCCAAATGACCTCGCAAATTCCCCTCAACGACACCCCTCACATCAGCAAGAAGCTCCTTGTGAATCTATTCACGAGTCACTTAGCTTGGCCTCAGACGTAAAACTGTGGCATTCGGCATTACTCTTCTGCTCGTCACGCCTTAGTCTTCAGACGACAAGCTACAGGCAGTGTCTCTGTCGCCTTCGCTCGCCTTGAACATTGCGTTTCCCAGTTCCTGCTGCGAAGTGTCTTGAAGTGAACCGAGCAGCCATGGCGTGTATCGCTCCAGCAGTTGCGTCGATGCACGCAGCAACGACCGCGAGACTGCAGAGTCCGCTCGCTTCGGCCTCCTCCGCCTCTTCCGCCAAGGCCAGCCTGAAATGCGCGGCTTCCAGCTCACGCGTTCCCCCATCCCTCACCCCTTCGCCGCTCTCTCAACACGTCGTCAGTCAAATCAAGAGCTCTCTGCCTCGGAAGTACCGGCGATCCGCCTCCGTGTATGCCACGTCAACGACCGAAGCTTCGACGCAGGCTCCTGCGAGCAGCAGCGATAGCAGCGGCGGGCCGTCGAAGGGACGCGTGATGGTGATTGGCGGCGACGGCTACTGCGGCTGGGCGACGGCGCTGCACCTATCAGAGCAAGGCTATGACGTGTCCATCGTGGACAATCTCAGCCGTCGATTGTTCGACGAGCAGCTCGGATCGCAGACCCTCACGCCGATCGCGTCCATCCACGATCGTGTGCGACGCTGGCGAGAGATCACCGGGAAAACGATCGCACTGTACATCGGCGACGTGTGCGACTTCGAATTCCTCGCAGACGCGTTCCAGACGTTCGAGCCGACGGCCGTGGTGCACTTCGGTGAGCAGCGGTCGGCGCCTTACTCCATGATCGATCGCAACCGCGCGGTGTTCACGCAGCATAACAACGTGATCGGTACTATCAATGTTATGTTCGCGATTAAGGAATTCGCTCCCGAGTGCCATCTGGTGAAGCTAGGGACCATGGGGGAGTACGGCACGCCGAATATTGACATTGAGGAGGGCTTCATTACAATCACACACAACGGCAGGACAGACACGCTGCCGTATCCGAAGCAAGCCAGCTCGTTCTACCATCTCAGCAAGGTATGCTCTAACTATGTCTTTAATGTCCGTGCCACGTCAGCAGGACATACTTCGCACGAATGTACGGATTTTCAAATTTCACAAGTATGCTTGTTCTTTAGTTTGTCTCTTTGCACTGATGATGTCACAATGTCTCAGTAAGCTTGGAATTGGTCGTTTCCCTGTTACCACAGGTGCACGATTCGCACAACATCGCGTTCGCGTGCAAGGCGTGGAACATGCGTGCGACGGACCTGAACCAGGGCGTGGTGTACGGCGTCGCGACGCCCGAGACGGAGAAAGACGTCATGCTCATCAACCGCCTCGACTACGACGGGGTGTTTGGTACCGCTCTCAACCGATTCGTTGTCCAGGCGGCCGTGGGCCACCCGCTTACGATCTACGGCAAGGGTGGACAGGTGAGGAAGGGGAAATATAGGCTGGATAAAGGCGAAGGGGCTTCTGAGGCGTCTCAAAGGATGATCATCTAGAACAAGGTAGGACAGGGGCAGGTTAGGGCGTGTGAATAGGGGCGACGGACCTGAATCAGGGCGTGGTGTACGGCGTCGCGACGCCCGAGACGGAGAAAGACGTCATGCTCATCAACCGGCTGGATTATGATGGAGTCTTTGGCACCGCTCTCAACCGATTCGTTGTCCAGGCGGCCGTCGGGCATCCGTTGACCATCTACGGCAAGGGCGGACAGGTGAGGGAGTTGAGATAGAGGCGCGGGGAAAGAATGGGATGGACTGACGCGTGAGAGGGTGGAATGGAAAGGTGGGGTGGGGAGACGATGTACGAGGAAGAACGAGTGGAATGTGGTCCAAGAGGAAACAAGACAGTCTTGCTCTCTATAAGAGCACACGGAGAAGGGTGCGCGTGCATCGCGCATGCGAAATGGAAACAATACAGCGATCGGGTAGGAAGGTCCGGTCTGGAATGGAATAGATGGCTGAGGGAGGGCGAGTTAGAGAGGCGCGCAGATGCAAGACCATGAAGCAGTCAGACTGACAAGGCTGTAGACTATTTGAGCCAGTCCGACCGACTAGCACATTATACGTGAGCTTCCGTCTATCTATCCATGTAAAGCTACAGCACCTAAGAGTTTTGAGGCGCCTCAAGAGTCACGGCAGCCTCGAGCTTCGCATCGAGTTGTTCTAGGGTCGTGTCGCAGCAATAGCGATGTGATTAGGAAGAGGATAGGAGCAGCGCAATTATGACAATTTGGGTGCACATGGTCAGAGTTTAGGATACGGGAAAACAGTGCCCCTTCCCCGCGTTCAACCACTGACCCACTGTCCACATGCCCCCCTTATCAACAAGCCCCCCCCTGCCCACCTCACCCCATCCCCACCAACCCCTCCCTCCAACATCTTGCTCCCGTATGGTCCCCCTTCTCCGGCCCCCTCGTTGCCCTCCCCTCTCCGCCTCCCCTTTCCATTGTACCCTTGTCCGAATATTCGACTCTGCCAGCTGGACGAGTTGCTAGCCTTCAACCAGCATCTCTGCCGTTCGTTCCCCTCCCCCCTTGTCCCCCCCAGACCCGCGGGTACCTGGACATTCGGGACACAGTTCGATGCGTAGAGCTGGCGATTGCTAACCCCGCCAAGCTGGGCGAGTTCCGCGTGTTCAACCAGTTCACAGAGCAGTTCTCCGTGCGGGACCTGGCACTGGGTAAGCCAGCATATCCATCCCTCCCATCCCTCCCACCCCTCCCTTGTCCCCCACAGACCCGAGGGTACCTTGACATCCGTGATAATGTGCGGTGCGTTGGGCTGGCGATTGCCAACCCCGCCAAGCTGGGCGAGTTCCGTGTGTTCAACCAGTTCACAGAGCAGTTCTCCGTGCGGGACCTGGCACGTGTTGAACCAGCATCTCTCTCCCCTCCACTTTCCCACACAGACACGCGGATACTTGGATATCCGTGATACAGTGCGGTGCGTTGAACTTGCAATCGCCAACCCCGCCAAGCTGGGCGAGTTCCGTGTGTTCAACCAGTTCACGGAGCAGTTTTCAGTGCGAGACCTGGCGCGGCTGGTGACAGCTGCAGGGGAGAAGATGGGCATTGAAGTGAAGTCCATCAACGTGCCCAACCCCCGCGTCGAGGTGCGTGCAAAACTAGCAGAGGAGTTTTTGAGTGGTGTTGTGATCCGAAGAGTGTCTGGGCTCGACTGGCGTTCTGGAGAGGTGGAAGGTTTCTCTTCAAGTGACATTGAATTCACGATGTTGTGAAACCGATTCACGATGTTCTCCTCAAGGGCTGAGAGTTGCTCTCCTGTGCTGCTGAGCCCAGGGCGCCTCTCAATCCCATCTTTTCTACACCCCACCAGGCAGAGGAGCACTATTACAACGCCAAGCGCACCAAGCTGCTCGAGCTGGGCCTGCAGCCACACTTCCTGTCCGACGCTCCGCTCGACTCGCTGCTCAACTTTCACACACATGTATTCATCTACACCTCTGTCTACCCCTCTCCACCGCACACCCCACCAGGCGGAGGAGCACTACTACAACGCCAAGCGCACCAAGCTCCTTGAGCTGGGCCTGCAGCCGCACCTCCTCTCCATCTCTCTCCTCGACTCCCTGCTAAACTTGCAAACCCATGTATACCCCTTTCCACCCCTTTCTACCCCAGGCGGAGGAGCACTACTACAACGCCAAGCGCAACAAGCTCCTGGAGCTGGGCCTGCAGCCGCACTTCCTCCCCGACGCTCTGCTCAACCCCTCAGAACTTGCAAACTCATGCATCCCACTCTACCCCTCTCCACCACTCTCTACCCCTTTATATTCCATTTGCACCAGGCGGAGGAGCACTACTACAATGCCAAGCGCACCAAGCTCCTCGAGCTGGGGCTGCAGCCGCACTTCCTCTCTGACGCGCTGCTCGACTCGCTGCTCAACTTTGCCGTGATCTACAAGGACCGTGTTGACCCCAATCAGATCATGCCGCTTTGTACCCCCTTCTTTCCACCCCCACATCCCACCAGGCGGAGGAGCACTACTACAATGCCAAGCGCACCAAGCTCCTTGAATTGGGCCTCCAGCCGCACTTCCTGTCTGACGCTCTGCTCGACTCCCTGCTCAACTTTGCCGTGATCTACAAGGACCGTGTTGACCCCAATCAGATCATGCCAGCTGTCTCGTGGAAGAAGATCGGGGTCAAACCCAAGAGCTCTGTTACAACCACACCTGCAGCGCAGTAGGAGGTGGGGTTGGGCTGGTTAATGTTGTAGAGGAGAGAATGTAGTAGAGGAGCGACTCTGCCGTGATATACAAGGACCGCATCGATCCCAATCAGATCATGCCAGCTGTCTCGGGAAGAAGATTGAAGCCCAAGAGCTCTGTTACAACCACACCTGCGCAGTAGGAGTGAGGGCTGGGCTTGTTAGTGTAGTGTTGGAGAGGCGAGGTCTGAGTATAGAGAGATGGTTGATTTACAGATATGAGGGTGGGCAGGACTTCATAATCCAGCTGAGTTGTGATTACTACTACAGCAGGATTTTAGACACTGCAATCCCTACACATGAAGCTGCCCCATCCTTCCCTTGTCTACTGCTGCAAAGGCTGGATGGTTTCTTCCCATGTAAAGTTGGAAGAAGTAATAAACTACGGTAGTAGAAAGTGGAACTGCGTGTTGCAACCATGTGGTAGATATTTTGGATGGAAAAAGCTGCAACTGAGCCAGTACAGCTAAAAAATTTAAAAGGCCTATTAATATTATGCAAGAAGTTAGCACGAACTGTTACAACAATTAAGAAGATATCACCAGAGAGATTACAGCAAAAACACAGTATTGTGAAGCAAGTTAGCAGCATCAACTATTGCTGAGCATTCATCTGCCATACTAACAATATGTCCTTATCAATCGGACTCCTTCCATATCTGGCCTGGCTTACTATATTGGCTACTCACTCAGCCCAACACACAACCCGTCGTCAAATGCACGTCAATAGGCCACCATAGTGACCTGACCCTGTATCAATTTCATAATCTCACGCTCTCCGATGATGCCTCTCCATTTCCCGACATACGGTACTGTACTTTCCTTCATAAGAACTTGCTCCAGAAAGACCTCTATCTCGTGAGTCGTGACCCGCCCCCCTCCCCCTCCCCTGTCCCTCCCCACTCCCGCACTAAGCCTATTGCATAAATGGCGCTGGGAGAACAAACAGCTTACCAGTACGAGTAAAAAATCATCGCTCATCCCGTCCGGTCCGGACCTAATTCGTCAACCATCCCCTCTCCTCTCCCCCAAAACCCCATCCCCCCCCCCCCCCTTCTCTCTTCCCTCTTCCCCTTTTCCCTATCATCGCACAGGCTGCCCGTTGCGTCTGCCACTTGGGAACAGCCGCAGCAGCCAGGAAAGCACCTCCTCCGCCACCTGAGAGAAGGAATGGGCATGGAGGAGCGGGGCGGGGGAGTAGGAAGAAAGCATACAATCATAGAAGTGAGGGAAATGAGGTGCAGAATAGGTATGAACGGGGCACAGCAGCCAAGAAAGCACCTCCTCAGCCACCTGAGAGAAGGAACGGGCATGGAGGAGCAGGGCGGGGGAGTAGGACGGAAAAAAAAAAAAAAAAAAAAAAAAAAAACCATTTTTTAGGCGAGGGAAACGAGGTGCAGTTCAGTTTAGGTACGAATGGGGCACAGCCACAGCAGCCAAGATAGCACCTCCTCAGCCACCTGAGAGAAGGAATGTGTACATTGGAGGGACGGTTACAGAGAGTGACCTGGCAATCTCTAAAGCCACTTCCTTGAAAACAGCCAAGCCCACCCAGTTCTCCTCAAAACGACACACGCACTCACCTCGTCCCCTTCATCGTCCCCTTCATCGTCCCCTTCATCCAGATAGTCATCCCAGCCCCCCTCCCCCCCAAGGCGACCTCACTCCCCCTCCCCCTCCTGCTCGGCTTGCACCCACCTTGTCACCTTCATCCAAATAACCATTGAACTACATGTATCCTGATGCCCCAGGCGCGCATAGCAAACCTTTGGCCGCCTAAGATTCTACACACTCACCTTATCCCCTTCATCCAGGTAATCATTAAACTCCGTGTATCCTGTCTACATCTGATTCTTTTTTCATACTTCGCAGAATCCTACGAACTCACCTCATCCCCTTCATCCAGGTAGTCATTAAACTCCGTGTACCCCGACGCCCCAGGTGTGCGTGGCGACCCCAGCCCCGCTCCTGCTCGAGGCGACCCCACTCCCCCTGGCCCTCCCCCTCCACCTACACTCACCTCAGAATCTGACGCACTCACCTCGTCCCCTTCATCCAGGTAGTCATTGAACTCCGTGTATCCTGATGCACCGGGTGTGCGTGGTGATCCCAGCCCCGCTCCTGCTCGAGGCGACCCCACTCCCCCTGGCCCTCCCCCTCCGCCTTCACTTAACCTTCCCGCCCCTGCCAGCAGCGCAGTGGCTGCCGCAGCAGCGGCCGGCGACACTTGTCCGTTTGCCTGGCTCAACAGAGGCGCAGAGAGAGACTTGGCAGTTGGGGAGAGGAAGGCTGGAGGGACGCTGGTAGGAGGCAGAAGAGCAGGACTGGCACCCGTGCTAGCATCAGTGCCAGTACCAGCCGCCTCAGCAGCAGCAACAGCAGCAGCAGCAGGAGCAGCAGCAGCGGCGGCACCATCACCAGTAGCAGCACCGTCAGCAGATTCAGTGAATAAAGAGGAAGCGCTAGCAGCAGCGGCGGGTGCAATGGCAGCAGAAGCGACAGCAGCAGCAGAGGAGGAGGAGGCACGTGGCACACGGGCGTTGAAAACGCCCGAGGCCGATCGAGAGGCAGAGGACGCAGCAGCCATGACAGTCTGAGCCACCAGCAGTTCCATGTGCTGCGTCTGACTCGCCAGCTTGTGAGACAACTCCTCGTTTGCTGCCTGTAAAGGGCGTAACAGTAAAGGGCGCCACAATAACGGGTGTGATAGAAGGGAGGGGGGTGAGAGTGGGTGCAGCATAGTTTGAGCCACCAGCAGCTCCATGTGTTGTGTCTGGCTGGCGAGCTTGTGAGACAACTCCTCGATTGCTGCCTGTTGTGATGATAAAGGGCATGACAGTATAGTGTGCGAGTAAAGGGGGTGTTAAAGAGGGAGGCAGAGGGCGCAGCAGCCATGATGGTCTGTGCCACCAGCACCTCCATGTGCTGCGTCTCACTGGCGAGCTTGTGTGATAGCTCCTCGTTTGCCGTCTGTTGTGACAGTAGAGGGTGTCGAAGTAAAGGGTGCGAGGGGGTGTGAGTGGGTGCAGAGAGGTTTGAGCCACCAACAGCTCCATGTGCTGCGTCTGACTGGCCAACTTGTGAAATAGTTCCTCGTTTTCTGCCAGTAAATGATAGTAAAGGGTGTGACAGTAACGGGCATGACAGTCAAGGGTGTGATATTGAAAGTTAACATGTGTGATAAAGCGTGATAGAAGGGAGCAGGGTGCGGGTGGGATGAGATGGGACGGGATAGCTTGGCATGGGAAGGCATGGCATGTCTTGCAACTCACCCGCAGCTCTGCTGACGTGGCAGCCTCCTCCTTGAGTGCGCGTGCCATGCGTTCCCTCTCTCCTTGCATCTGATTGGTGGGTAAACACGCAGGGAGCGTGGGGTGGGTGAGGGCAAGAGGAAGCACTGAGGAAGATGAGTACCAGAAGATAGCACAATAAAATCGTGACAAAGAAAAGGCCGAAGCAAAAGCAGGCTGGATACTCAGTAGTCATAAGCTCACCCTCACCTTCTCCTCCCCCCCCCGTTGTCACCACTCATCCCCACCACCCCGCTCACCTCTGCCAGCAGCGCATTGATGCTCTCCACACTCCTTTGCTCTTCCTCTGCTCACAAAACAGTTCCCCACTCTCACTTCCCTTTGTCCCAAACAACCACACCACCCCTCTCCCCATCTCACCTCGGCCAGCAGCGCATTGATGCTCTCAACACTCCTCTGCTCGTCCTCTGAAAGCACATCCACCGACCCGGGCAGCAGAGCGGGCAGCAACAAAAACTCATCCACCACTCCCTCCTCCTCATCTTCCTCCTCTTGATTGGCCCCTTCTCCAGCCTTCCTGTCCCTGCCTCCTCTCCCTCTCCTCCCACCACCAGCAGCAGTCGCAGCAGCAGCGGCACCTTCCTCTGCCGCCCCAACAGCAGCAGTGATCATTCTCACCAGCTGTTCCCCCACTTCCTCCAAATTATGCCGCCCGTCACCCTCCATTCGCGTGAACAGTGCCCGAACCTCTGCCACTGCTCTCCTTCCAGCTTCCCCTAGCGCCTCCCGCTCTTCCTCTCTCCTCCTCCCCTCTTCCCCTGCCTCCCCATCCTCCACTGCAGGTCCGGCCGAGCCTCCATCTTCTCTTGCTACCGCTGCCGAGCCTCCAGAGGCTGGTTCGGTGCTCGAGCCTGCTGCAACTGCCTCCGCGGCAACAGATGCTGAGCCTGACACTCCTGGCTCGGCAGACGGTCCTGCTTGGCTCGGGAAGGCAGCCTCCAGCTCATCTGTTGACGTTGATTGGCTCACGAACGGTACAGCTGGCGCTGCTGCTGACGTGGACGTGCTGTCCCCCCGCCACATGTCGCCGAGTGTGCCGCCCACTGTCGCCCTTCTCAACTGCACCTTGAGTTGGCGCTTCTCTGTGGAGACACGTGGAGGATGTGATGACATGTCATTTGGCGTGACATGGCATGGTGTGACATGGCACGATGTGTGATGGCATTGATATGCACACACTCAGCAGCAAGAAACACACCACACCACACCGCATCAAACCACACCGCAACCCGCCACCACACCACACCATATCCAGCCCCAACCCATCACACCACACCACACCACACCACACCTTCATTGAGCTTATCCACAGCGGCGCGCAGCTCCTTCCTCTCCGCCTCAAAGGCTGATGCAGCACGTCTGGGTGTGGGTGGAATGGCAGGTGAATGCCATGTGAATGGCATGTGAAAGGCATGTGAGTGGCATGTGGTTGGAATGGCATGTGGTTGGAAAGGCATGTGGTTGGAATGGCATGTGGTTGGAAAGGCATGTGGTTGGAATGGCATGTGGTTGGAAAGGCATGTGGTTGGAAAGGCAAGGCATGTCAATCACATGTGCCTCTGCCTCCGCTTGCAGCCCCTCTGCCTATCTCTCCAGCTTCAGCTCGACATTGTTTAACCAGCCCAGAAAGAAGACGAAAACAATCCACATACTCACCCCACACCCACCTATGCCACTCACCGCTGTGTTCTGCCTCTGCCTGAAATCCCTCTGCCTGTCTTTCCAGCTTCAGCTCGTTGGATCGCAGCCGCAGCACCCTCTCCTCCGGAGCCACCACCTCTGCTGTTGAGCGTGTGAACATGACAACCAACCCCACACCCACCCAACCCACTCACCGCTGTGCCTCCGCCTCTGCTTGCAATCCCTCCGCCTGCCTTTCTAGCTTCAGCTCATTGGATCGCAGTCGCAGCACCCTCTCCTCCAGCGCCACCACCTCGGCCGCCAGCGCCTGCGATCGCTCGATGGCCGCCAGGGACTCGTGGTGAGCTGCTTCTTTGCTCACTGCCTGCGACTCCATCACCACCTGACAGTGGAGAGGGGGCGGGGGAAGAAAGTGACGAGGGGATGTGCGTGCAGGGTCAGCAGTCGCAACACCACCTCTGCTGCCAGCGCCTGCCATCGCTCGATGGCTGCCAGTGACTCGTGGTGGGCTGCTTCTTTAGACACTGCTTGTGACTCCATCACCACCTGATGGAGAAAGGAAGGAGCAGGAGGAGCGGGGTGGGAGAGAGGGAAGAAGGGGGCATAGAGCGAACACGGTGACATCTCCTCCAGAGCCACCACCTCTGCTGCCAGTGCCTGTGATCGTTCGATGGCTGCCAGTGACTTGTGGTGTGCTGCCTCTTTGGACACTGCTTGTGACTCCCATCACCACCTGAAGGGAAGAGGTGCGGGCGAGGAAGAGAGGGGGGTACGGCAACCAAAATCGGTGACAGTGCCACCACCTCTGTTGCCAGCGCCTGCGATCGCTCGATGGCGGCTAGAGACTCATGGTGAGCTGCCTCTTTCGACACTGCTTGTGACTCCATCACCACCTGTAAGGGGGGGAGTAGAGAAGGGCAGGCAAGACACAGCAATGCTTGTGATCGCTCCATGCCAGATAGTGTTGTAAGCTGCATCCTTGCTTCGATAGAATAGCAGGCAGCACTAGTATAAGCAGCACTATTATTTAGATGCCCTTTCAGTTGCCACCTTCTCCTCACAACCTCCAGTGCCCTCTACCCCCTCCCAAACCCACGCTTCCATACACACCCGCCCCAACTCCCCTGCACACCCACCTTTCCCTCCTCCACACCCACATCACATCACCCTGTGTGTCTCTCACCTTCTGTGCCTTCACCTCAGCCTTGAGCTTCGAAATCTCCTCCCTCATCTGCTCCAAGCCCTTCGCCTGAGAAAGAAGCGGCAGAGAGAGCAGGGGACAGAAAAGAACAGGAAGGGAGAGCAGAGTTTGAAGTCATCAGCAAGAGCAGAGCTTTCCTTGGCCAGAGACTCTGCCACAATGCGCGCTGCATCCAGATGCTGCACCCCATTTGCCAAAGCCCTTTCCTTCCCCCCACTTCTCCTTTACATCACCTCACCTGTCGGTTGAAGTCATCTGTGAGAGCAGAATTCTCTTTTGCCAGAGACTCAGCCACCATGCGAGCCACATCCAGCTGCCCCCGCTTCCCCCCCTCTCATAGTTACCCCACCTCCCAACCCCTTCCCCTTTCACGACCTCACCTGTCGGTTGAAGTTATCAGTGAGAGCAGAGTTCTCCTTGGCCAGAGACTCAGCCACCATGCGCGCTGCATCCAGCTGCCACCCACACTCCTCCCCCATCATCCCCCTCACCCTATCATCACCTCACCTGTCTGTTGAAGTCATCTGTGAGAGCAGAGTTCTCTTTCGCCAGAGACTCAGCCACCATGCGCGCTGCATCCAGCTGCCACCCACCTGCCAAGCCCTTTCCCACCCGCCCCCTCCCCCCTCACGGCCTCACCTGTTGATTCAAGTCGTCAGTAAGCGCGGAGTTCCCTTTAACCAGGGACTCAGCCACCATGAGCGCTGCATCCAGCTGCCACCCACACTCCTTCCCATCACACCCCCCACCTTCCCTCTCTCTTCCTTCACGGCCTCACCTGGCGGTTGAAGTCATCTGTAAGCGCAGAGTTCTCTTTGGCCAGGGACTCAGCCACCATGCGAGCCGCATCCAGCTGTCGTTGCAGCGTGAACTTCTCCTCTGTCAGCTCCTCTATGTACTGTGTGCAGGGAGGGGGGAGGAGGGGGGCCGTGAGTGGGCAGGAAAGGAGAGCGAGGTGATTAGACTCACGCTGCAGCGTGAACTTCTCCTCTGTAAGCTCCTCTATGTACTGTGTGCACAGGGGATGGGGGAGGAGTGAACGGGAGTTGTGAGGGTGGAAACGGGGGATGGGAGAAAGGGGAGGGGGGGGAGGAGGGTGGCGGAAAGTGGGGGCAGGCGGTGGTTTTTGAGAATTCTCAAAAACCAGGCGGTGGAGTGAAAGGGCAGGAATCGGCGTAAACACTTTCCGATGTGTTGCATGTACGGAATGACTTCTGAGTCGACTCAAAAGTCAGTACGGAATGGACGAAAGGAAGGGCAAGGAAGGGAGACCGAACGGAAGAGCGGCAGACCAGAGGAGCGGCACCAGGAACCAATCGTCCTTATCAATCCTATCCAGCCCCACCTGTTCAAGAGACGCAAAGTCGCTTGATGCAGCACCCTTGCTGGACTGCTCCCCGCCCTCCATTCTCTCCCTCACCCTCTCCGTCTCCCTCGTTCTCTCATCCCCACTCCTTCCACCCTCCTCCTCTTCCTTCTTCCCGGACCTTTCCTCCATCTCCCCGTTAACCCCCTCTCTCTCACCACCACGCCCCTCTTCCTCCCTCCCTTCCTGATTCTCCATTCCGTTTCCATAACCCATGACTCTGCCCTGGTCGTCCGAGGCAGCAGGTTCGGAAAACAACGAACCGACAGGTCTGGAGAAAGGTGAGTCGGTCATTGGTGGTCTGGATGGGAGAGGTACAGAGTCTTGGGAGGTTTGGCCGAGGCGAGATTGCAGGGAAGATGGAAGGACAGGGGCAGGAGGCAGAAACCCTAATTCACTACGCAGTTTCGCCATCTGCTCGGCTGTAGCTGCGCTGCCAGGTGCTGCAAGAGAGGACGAGAATGGCTGTGATGCTGCTGTTAACGAGCCTGCTGATAACGAGGATGACTGGCTGCCTGTGGCAGAGGCCGGAGGTGGGAGGAAGGAGGGGCGGTATGCTGCTGCTATGGATGGCTTGGCAGCAGACTGTGAGGAGAAAGACAAGGATGGGGACGGGGAGGAGAAGGTGGAGAAGGAGGAGTAGGAAGAGGAGGAGAAGGCGGAAGAGGAGGAGGAGAAGGCGGAAGAGGAGGAGGAGAAAGCGGAAGAGGAGGAGGAGGATAGGGTACTGTTGGTACTACTCAAGGCTGTGGCACTTGTCGTTCTAAGTCCCAGTGCTGCCCCAAGCTTTGCATCTATATCAGCTGAAGACCCCAGGCCTGATCCCCCTGCTGCGCCCAAAAAGGAATACTTTCCCAAAATAGAAGAAGAGGAGAAGGCAGTTGCAGCTGACGTGGCTTTACTGCCGCCCAAAGCGCCAGCTAATACGTCTTTAGAACTGCCTAGGGCTCCTGAAAGAGGGTCCTTCGTAGTTAATCCTCCTCCTAGCGCACCACTAAGGACGTCTTTAGAGGAAGAGAGCGTAGGGAAGGATGAGAGTGAAGAGAGAGAGGAAGGGTAGGAGTATGAGGAGTGGGAGGAGGAGGAGAGAGTGGGGGAGCTGTAGGGTAGAGAGGAAAGAGAGGAGAGTGGGGCTGCAGAGGAGGGAAAGAGAGACGATGGCAGAGGCTTTGTGGGAGAGTCGAAGAGAGAGGAGGAGGGAGTGGCAGTGGTGGAGGGGAGAAAGGGAGAGGAGGGGCGAATAGTGGAGGCACGAGGAGGCGAGTCGTTGAGATTATTCAAGGACGACTCTTTGCGAGGGGAGTCAAGGGAAAGGGCGGAGGAGGAAACAGGGAGCGAGGATGCAGAGGCAAGGGACGAGGAGGGCTGGTGAGGCTCTTCAGAGGAATGTTTGGGAAGGAGAGAGGTGAGGGAGGAGGGTTTGGTGGGGGAGTCAGTAAGGCTGGGCTGGTGCGAGGAAGGGGTGAGGCGAGGGAAAGAGAGCTCTTTCTGAGCAGCTGGCTTGAGAGGCGAGTCGAAGAGGGAGGGAGATGAGGAGGTGGTCACACTGGTAGCGGTGCTGGTGGGGGGATCGTTAAGGCTGGGTTGGTGCGAGGAAGGGGTGAGGCGAGCGAAGGTGAGTTCCTTCTCAGCAGCTGGCTTGAGAGGCGAGTCGAAGAGGGAGGGAGATGAGGAGGTGGTAACACTGGTAACGGTGCTTGTGCTGGAAGAAGAGGAGAAAGAGGAGGAGGATGACGAAGCCGAGGAGGAAGAAGAGGACGAGGAGGAAGAGGTGGAGGGATCAAGGTCAGGGGAAGGGAAGACTTTCTGAGGGGAGGCAGAGGGAGTGGTGGCAGCAGAGGCAAGCTTCCTCAGCCCTCGCAGCCACGAGGGCCTCGAAAACCCTCCCTTCGACTCCTGCTTGCGCCCCTCCTCTTTCTCCTCCGCTCTCGCTGCACCCGCCCCAGATACCACCTCCCCTTTTGCCCCAGATACCGCCTCCCCCTTCACACCAGAATCCTTCACCTGCTTCTCCTCCCGCTCCTCCCAATCCTTCCCTTGCAGACCTTTCACCTGCCCACCATGGACCCCTTGGCTATGCCCTCTATCACCCCACGACTGCCATCTCCCAGCAGGCAACTCATCAACCCCCATCTTCATATCACCCCCCATCGTCCCATCACCCGCCCCTTTCACAGCCTGCCCCACGTTGATCAAATCCGAGGCTGACAAACTCTTTCCTCCCCCTAGACCCTGCCCTCCCAGGTTTCCCTTCGCAGTCAGCAGTCCCCCACCCCAATCCTCCTCCTCCTCCCCTTCTTCTCCCTCTTTGTGCTCCTCTCTGCCCCCAGCATCCGCACCTTTCGTCCCTCCTGTTCTCTCCTCTGATTTGGGAGCAGGGGCGATGATATTCCACCAGGAGGAGATGGACTTGGGTCGGCGGCGGGATGAACTGTAACGGCCCCCATCCGCCCCTTTCTGGACCTCGCTCTTCCTCCCAATCACCTCGTCACTCTCCTCACCATCCGCACCCCCGCCGCTCACCTCCCCCTCCTCCTTTTTCTCGCCCTCTTGCCCGCTTTCCGCTGCTCCGGTTCGCTCCTGCGCCTCCTTCCCTGCTTCCTGCCCCCGCAAATCACCACCCTTCGCAGGCTCACGCCCCTCTAGCTCCAGCTCATGCCGGCTCGCTTCACTCCCAGTAGGAACCTGCCCTTGCCTCACTGCCTCCTGGCTAGAAACCCCTATCCCCTCTGCTGCTCCCTCTGCTCCTCCGTCCCCTCCTGCGCCCACACTCCCTAACGCTGCCCCTAGATTATCCACCTCCTCCTCCCTCAACCCCTCCAGAGACCCTCCCTGCCCGCCCTGCTCCTCACCCTCCGAAGCCCTAGCATCACTCCCACTCCCTCTGCCCCTGCCGCCATCGCCCCTCATCATTCCCCGGGCCGGGGAAAGAGCAGCGGAGAACAGACGCGCAAAGGCAGAACCCTTGGGCCTCTCCGGCGATTTCAGCTTCTCAGCAACGGAAAACTCCTCTTGAGGCAGCGCTTTAGGAGAAACCGGTTGGGGCAGCGCCTTAGGAGAAACCGGTTCAGCACCAACCAAGGCGTCGCCATTGCCCCGAGAAGGCTCGGTGGTGCCTTCCCTCTGGCTGGGCAAAGCAGCAGATTCAGATGCTGATGGAGGGGTATCAGGAGGAGCGCTCACTTGAGTCGTATCCGTGCCTCTAGACGCTGCAAAACGCAGGGATTCAGAACTATCTGACGCAGGAACAGTAGACGAAGAGTCAGGGCTCAAACTGGCCTTTGAATCGCCACTATCCTCTTGACGCGTGGCAGCAGGGGACTGGCTGGTTGGGGCTGCGACTGACGTCACCAGAGAGGCAATGGGGGAGCTGACATCAGCTATCGCGGGAGCTGGGGCGGAGAGGTGGGGCGCGCGGGAGGGAACGAAGACGGAGGGGGAAGCGGAGGCTGCGGAGGAGGAGGGGAGCGCGGAGGTATAGGCGGAGGGGAGGAAAGACGCACGAGCAGGCTTCACCACAGGCCTGGGGGCTGCAGCTGACGGTGCTGCAGGGTTAAAGAAGGTTGGTAGCATAGGAGGAGGAGGAAGGGAAGAGGCCGAAGGAGGGGCAACGAGAGGCGGAGCAGAGGCAGATGAATTGTGATGGGAGTCAGACGGAACCACCACCACCTGGGAGGTAGAAGCTGAGTTGGCTGAGGGAGTGGATGGGTCAGATGATTCAGCAGCGTTGGCAGCACCACCTGTAGCGCCAACGCTGCCAGACGATCTCCCGATACTCGCATCCGGAGGCAATTCCTCTGCAGCCCTACTGTGCGCCTCGTTCTCCGCTTCTTTTGACTCGTTAACCGCTTCCTTTGGCCCTTCCGCCGCCCGACCCTGCTGTAGCCTGGATTCGCTATCGGCAGGTGACAGCACCTCATAGGAGAGCAGGTCCTGCTCTTGTAACGAGTCCCTCATAGCGGGAATAGTGGGGCCCAGGCTGGGTGTATGGGCTGCAGAAGCTGAAACCGTCTCAGAAACAGCACCAGTAGAAGTGTCAGCAGGCGCACCAGCAGAAGCACTAACATTAGGACCAACGGATGCACCTTCGGCACCAGCAGGAGCATCAGCAGCAGAAGCAGCCGATGCCGAAGCAGGCAGCACAGCCCCCTCATCTGCTGCAGCACGGGAGGCAGCTGCCAATACCTCCGGGTTTTGATGGCTTTGATTGGAAACGGCGGGGGAGAGAGAATCAAAGAAGCTCTCAGCGTCTGCATCGTCCTCTCTCTCCCTCCCCCCTCCAAACCCTCCCACGCGCGTTTGAGAAGATTCGCCCACCCCTCCCGCAAATGATACCGCGTCTCTCCCGTGTTGCCCACTGTCTCTTTCCCTGGCACCGCGTTCCGACGCTGATCCGCCCCCTGCTGCTTCTCCCCCCGCCGTGCCTACACGAGTAACCCCCTCGGCTTCCTCCTTATCCTTCCGCCCGCCGTTTCTCTGTAACTCTGCATCTCCCTCCGCCCCTCCACCCCTCTTATCCGTGCTGCTACCAGCGCTTATTGCGGCGGCAGCTGCGGCTGCAGAGTGAGGGGTAGACGAGCTTGCAGATACCCCCGGAGGAGCGGCAAAGGATGACAACGGAACCGTATCGTTGCTGTTCCCGCTACTTCTGCTACTGCTGCTCGTGCTACTGCTGCTGCCTCTACTGCCGCTGCTACTGCTGCTGGTTCCGCTACTGCTGATGCCGCCAGTGTTGCTACCCTGTAACCCCCAAAGCGGGCCCATCCCTTTGCCTTGACTCGACCCTCCCCCCATCCAATCCGGGCGGACCCGTGCGCCGTCCGGGCCTCCCCCGACCGTCACTGGCGGGGGCGCGGAGAAGGCGGGCGGCGGAGGGGATGCGCGGGAGGGCTGCGCATCCGCCGCGGGGCGGAGGAGGGAAGGCCTGGCGGGGTTAGGCGCAGCGGCTGCGGTGGCGGAAAGTGGGTGGCTTGGCGCGCCAAGGAACGCAGGCGGAGGTGCACCGGCGGGCTTTTGCGCGGACGCGAGCCTTCTTTTTCCCTCCTTCTTTTCCGCTGGTGGGGAAAAGGTGCGCGCGAGCGGAGGCGGCGGAGGCGCAACTCGCGGGGCTGGCGCAAGACCGGATCGGGAGGAAGGTTGTGCGGGAAAAGAAGGCTCGCGCGGGGGGGAAAACGTCCGCGCGAGGGAAGGCTGAGCGGGACCCCTCGGTCCGGAAAAAAGCGCGGAAGCGGGGGGTGCTCCACCGGGACCGGGACCTGTAACCCCGCTAGGTTTCGCGAAAGTCACCAGAGGTCCCTTCGCCGCAAACGGGAGCGGCTGCATCCCTGCGGCCGGCCTCGTGGCGGTTGACGCGGCGGGAAACCCGGACGACGGTACAGGTGGAGCGGCGGCATTGGCTGCGTCAGAACCTGGGGGCCCCGGAGGGTGGGGGAGGCCGTTGGTGGCTGAAATGGACGGCTGAGATTGCTGCCAAAAGGGAGTTAGAGGAGATCGGAAGTTGGCGGACCTAAACGTGGGTAGGGCTGCCGGAGCTTGGGCTAAGCCAGGCTGCACCAACGGCCGTGTTAGAGAGGGCGGAGCGAAGGAATTCGGGTGTGATTGAAACGCGGGTGGGCCTATAGCGGGAGGAGCAGCGGCTGTGGTGCGAGGTGGCACCGGCTGCTGAGACGGAGGCGGATTCCCTGCGGTAGTGGGCTTGGCTGCTGGCTTAGCTGCAGCGGAAGTGGCGGTTCGGGAAGTCGCAGACCCCCCTGCTGCTGCCGCTGCCGCTTTCTTCTTGCGAAACTCCTCGAGCTGCAGAAATTCAGGTGAAATCAGGCAGCACGGGATACGAAACGGATTCTTAGAACGATTCTGGAAAACAAAACCGGGAAAATCACATGAAAAAAAGCAGTTGTACATTAACGCGTTCGCAAAGCATTGGCGACCAAATCTTGAATAAGCATAGGGGAAAAGCAGGACCATCATAGCGTCGCAATGAGGAATCACGTACCTTTCTTCGACCTGCTTGAGCTAGTTCGTTCTTCTTAGCGCCAGCAGAAGCCGGCTTAGCTGCTACGTCAGCCATGACTACCGCCAGGATCGCTGGTAAGAAATCAAGTGAGTAATCGAATAACTGTGCGGAGAGGAGCCAGTAGCTATGCAGTGAGAGGCTGCAGGAAGGAAATTATCACATCAATGAACACTGTCACGTGGAATGTCCCACGAGAACGATATAAGAGGGAGCATGGCGGCCTAACTCTAAAGCAGACACACTCAAGCAACAATTATAACCAATAATGATGCAAGGATCAATAACTCCCAGTAACCCCGCAAGCGACCTGAGCTGGAAGTGTAAGGCAAGACCCTTCGGATGAGATCAAACCCTTCGGACTCGTTTAGGGCGCGTGTCCTTGAGGTCGAACTTTTGCCAAAGTTCGAACTTATAGAAAGGTTGTACACGGTAAGATACAGTTTAAAAACGTCTTGTCACGGTAAAAAGCGGTACTAGGCTCGAACTTTGACAATCTACACCAAAAGACACGCGCCCTTATGGTGGTTGTGAGTGAATGGATCAGGCTTTCTGTGAGGTGGGGTGAGAAATGGCTCCAAGGGCCTGAGAGGGGCTTGGGGAACGTGCTGTATGGTGAAATATGTGCTGGTCGCTTGCAATCTAATCCGATACGTCACGGTGCACAACGGTGAAGAGAGATGACCCCTTTGTAACGTGTGGAACCGCATTGCGCCACGATGAATGAACCGTAAACGTACCCACACCCCGCACTTCCAGACCAAACCAAACTGGCAGCAGAATGTGCGGTTGGGAGGGGCTCGAGGCAACAGTGCAGTCATACGCTGCTAAATCTCTGGTTCTTTCTGATTGGCGGGACGACCAGATTTCACCTGACAGACGGGGCACGACAGAACCGCGCAAAAAGTTCACCGATGTACAATATGCTTCACGTCTTACTGTACACAACAATTCAAGCTACACAAAGCTCATATATAAATATATAGAACAAAAGTATGACTAAACTTAATGTACTGGTATCCAGCCCTCACGTCAAATCCTTTCTCCAGAGCATATCCATATGCTCAAAAACTTCCTCCTCGTTCCACCTCCCCTGTCCAGTTGAGACCAGCCGTCCATGCAAATCATCTTCCAACCCCTGTTGCTCTACCAAAGATTCCCTTGCCACTGCAGCTCCACAATACGGCCAGCATTCCACTAGTGCCTGTAGCCACACTAGCATAGAACCGTTCTTCCTTACTGAAAACGAGGCTGTCCCAGCAATCCGAACATAACCCGCCTCGCCTTCAGAAGAGCCTGCTGCGGAAGTGCTTACAGCACTCCCTTTACCAGGAAAGGCCTCGCCAGATGAATTCTCGTGGTCAAAACTGCTGCTGCTACTGGTTGCAGCGCTACTGCTCCTCGAAAGCACTACGTTCTCCTGCGTTGGTCTATCTCCTGCACTCCAGCACCGATCGCATGATTGTTCTGCGAGCTTAATATCCTCCTTGTTCGCGTGTTGATTCCCAGCCACACGCCTGGAAACAGTTGCTTGTCTGCACACCCGATCACGTGTCCCCTCCCCTTGCTGCATACCATTGGCTCCTGCCCCTGTGCACGCCACAGCGGCTCGTTTCCGCTGCCTAAACTCCTCAAGCTGCGTGGAGATTTGCGAAATTAAAACAGTGGGGGCGGGACAGAGAGAAGGAGAGAGTGAGAGATGGGGCACGAGAGGAGGACATAAAATAAAAGGAAAGGCGGAATGCAGGAGAAGTCTGAAAGACGAGTTTGGAAAAAACGTTCAAAAGTAACAAAGCGAAATGGTCGGAAATAAGAGTAAAAACAGAAACTAGAGAATGCGCTTGAGAAAATCCGTTGAATATCGTGGTACGCAAGAGTAATGCGAACGACGGCAACATACCTTCCGCCTTCCCGCCTGCGCCAGCGCGTCCTTCTTTCTCTCTGACAGCTTAGACGATGGCTCGCCAGTCGGGCCCATGACGCATGACGAGGCTAATTCTTCGAAGAATAAAAAAATGGTAACTTAACTCGCCACGATGAGAATCGTTTAAGGACAAGCAGCGGATTATCGCACTAGAGCTTACAAATTAATGCAAGCCGCGGCAAAGTACTAATGGTGGGAACGACAATAAAAGTTTAGAGGGAAAGGCGGGAATAGGATTAGTGAAATGTTGGTTGAGATGAGATCAACAGCAGTAACACCTGCCAGCAGCAGTGACTCGTGCAATAATCGTGGCAGGCCATGGGATCTCAAATGTCGCTTTCAAGCCCATACGGCAGAGGTGTGAACTCTGCCACGATTTGTTGTCAGCACTGCCTGAGAAAAGTTTCTTTCCGTTTCATTTTTCCGAGAATGGGTCTATTACGCAAAGTGGATTCGTACCAGTCACTTAAATTTATACCAGACAGTGATTTTTATATTACAGAACAGAGATGCATTGTACTAAGTACTCAGAATTCCTAAGTGTCAACCACCGTCTCTACGAATCCACAGCTGCGCGCCTTTCTTGGTTCTTGATCTGACCCCTCTTGGCCGCTACAAGTGGTGGTAACTCGTTCAGGGCCTGGTGGGGGAGGGATGGGACTTTTATACTGGGCAGAAAGGGAGGAATGGTTAAGATTATTTACAGGGCAGAGAAAAACAAACTGACACCTCGAGCACAACCTCCTTGAGTTTGCCCCAGGTTGGCTAGGGCGAGGAAGACACGCAAAGAGTAAAAAACAAGCCAAACCGAACCTAACAACGCCCAACCACACCTGACCAGCCGAACCTAACGTCATAGCTATTTCGAGCCTAGGTCCAAACTAGACCGTAACCCAGACTCGAGCCTAGCGAAGGCTAAAGCGGCTCAGCTAAGCCTAAATCGAACCTAACGTTCTGACTAACGCACCTACCGTTCTGACTAACGCTCCTAACGTTCCTAACTACCCAGGGCCCAGATCCACTTAGGTCGTGTCCGGGTGGATGACATGTCAAAGTGGCCAGTGTCAATTTGCCATTTTGACACTCAGCCAACATTGTTGGCAGAGTGTCAAGAAATTGCAAGTTGCCAGCCAATAAAAATCGTCGGACCACTTTTGAAATTGGCACGGTCAAACCTACAAACGAGAGAACATCGTCGCAGCTGCCTATCTCACGACTAGAAGCTGCCCAATCAGCAGACACCGCCTCCTACTATCCTTCGCGTGCCTAGGAGACCCACAAATGACAAAATCACAAACCAATGAAATTGCGTCGCTGATGTTCGCACATGCGCTTCGACTTGACACTACAGCTACAGTATTTGACACTCCAATTCTAACGCGCTTTGGGTTGACACGCACATTGTTAACATGTCATCCCTACGGACACGAACTTACAATACCCTACCATACACGGCTGGTTGTCTCCCCGCGCTACCCCCTCGGCTCTGCGAGCTCCGCGCTCCTCGCCCGCTCATGCTCCTGCCCACAAACCAATACAAACAGAGGTCAGCGTATTGAGAAAGCTTGCTTTCTGTTCTTGCAAAGGCAACGGGCTTCATTACAGTTGGCAACGGGCTTCATTACAGTTGCAGTAATACAACATTCTCGTCCAACTATGAATTACACAAATATACAACTAGGGTGGGTGGGTGGGTGGGGAGTGGAACTGCAAAGTTCCGAAATGAAGTCGTGGGTGGAGGCCGAATGGCCTCCAACCCTCGTTATATACTCGGCGAACTGTAATTCGCCGTTGCTTTGCTTCGTTACAGGCCGCTGCGCTTTCACAATACGCATTTTTAGAAAGTGTTACACACTTTCAAAAAATTTCATATTGAGAAAGCTTGCTTTCTGTTCTTGCAAAGGCAACGGGCTTCATTACAATTGGGTCTTCTGAGACATGTACAGCTGGGGCGTTGAAGACGTGACGAGTGTACAGTAGTTGCGGTTGATGTCTTTGACGAAGTGTTGAGAGAGGCGGTGTTGGTGATCGTGATCTCTGTGTCGATGGTGTTCGGAATGCTGTGTGTGCGAAGGTTGCTTGTACCGTTGATGTGGATGTCCCTGTTTGTTGGTGCAGCAGGATAGTGGTTGAGCTCGGTGGTTCTCAAACTCTTGACGCCCAATGTACGGTATAACTTTATCTTGAGATTTGATTTCCATTTGCTCTGTTCTGGTTTACTCTACACTTCACCGTTTGACGTTCCAGACTAACTATAATGTGGATGTGTGGGTTTGGATTGGTAGTAGTGGGGGGGTGGTATCTGTCATGCTGGTGGATAGGAATAGTCTTTTTTCTTTAAAACCAGAATATAAAGAATGAACCCTGTCCCAGCTTGAAAAGGTGATGCAAGGGAGCGGGCCGATAGAGCACTGTTTCAAACAAAACGGGTAGCCGTGTGAACGAATGTGATTGGCTTTCGCCAATTTCGATTCTTCTTGTTCCCACCAAAACAGATTTCCATGTGGAGCTCCTCCGTCGCATGTCTTCGTGCTACACATCACAACTGTTGCCCATGGATGGTTTCCATCGCCAGGACAACGTTGGTTTCAGTTGGGACTGGGTTTCATTACTAGCTGCGCTCCATCCCGAAGTCATTGCGTTAGTTGTGTGTGAGTGTCGTTGCCATTCAAAATTGTACATAGCATGTTCCAAACGTTCCCTGTGTCAAACATTGTATGTTTATATTGTGTAGGCTATAGTGGGTTTAGCCTTAGAGGGTACACAAACTTAGGGTTTCATACTTGTACCCACCTTCCTGCTAGTTCATCCATTCTCGTTCTATTCTAGATTCTGACATGGTATCAGAGGCCTAGGTTGCTACCTAGGACCGCTTTCTACAATGGGCCCACTATTCCGCTAGGCGCGCCCTCGTGCGCCCTACCTTACGTGCGCCCTCGTGCGCCCTACCTTACGTGCGCCCTCGTGCGCCCTACCTTACGTGCGCCCTCGTGCGCTCTACCTTACGTGCGCCCTCGTGCGCCCTCGTGCGCCCTCGTGCGCCTTTCTCTGCTAGTGCGCCTTCGTGCGCCCTCGTGCGCCCTCGTGCGCCCTCGTGCGCCCTCGTGCGCCCTCGTACGCCCTCGTGCGCCCTCGTGCGCTCTCGAGCTGCCCCTGCAGGTCCGTCAGGCCCCCGAGCCGCCGCTGCAGGCCCGTCACGCCCGAGAGCCGCCCCTGCACACCCGTCAGGCCCGCGCGCAGCCTCTGCACGACCGCGCGCCGCCCCTGCAGGCTCTCGCCGCCCGCCGCGTCGCCCTGCCCGTGGCGTCGCCGCCTTCCCGCGGCGTCGTTGCCTGCCCGCGACGTAGCCCCTGTCCGCGGCGTCGTCGCCTGCCCGCGGCGTCGTCGCCTGCCCGCGGCGTCGTCGCCTGCCCGCGGCGTCGCCGCCTGCCCGCGGCGTCGTCGCCTGCCCGCGGCGTCGTCGCCTGCCCGCGGCGTCGTCGCCTGCTCGCGGCGTCGTCGCCTGCCCGCGGCGTCGTCGCCTGCCCGCGGCGTCGTCGCCTGCCCGCGGCGTCGTCGCCTGCCCGCGGCGTCGTCGCCTGCCCGCGGCGTCGTCCCCTGCCCGCGGCGTCGTCCCCTGCCCGCGGCGTCGTCGCCTGCCCGCGGCGTCGCCACCTGCTAGCGGCGTCGCCCTACTCGCGGCGTCGCCACCTGCCCGCCGCGTCGCCCTGCCCGCGGCGTCGCCACCTGCCCGCCGCGTCGCCCTGACCTAATCCGCCTCTCGCCCCTGGAGCAGCCGCCACTGCAGCAGCAGCCCCTGGAGCAGCCGCCACTGCAGCAGCAGCCCCTGGAGCCGCCCGCCACTGCAGCAGCAGCCCCTGGAGCCGCCCGCCACTGCAGCAGCAGCCCCTGGAGCCGCCCGCCACTGCAGCAGCAGCCCCTGGAGCCGCCCGTCACTGCAGCAGCCCCCTCTGGAGCAGCACGCACCTGCAGCAGCCGCCCCTGGAACAGCCCGCACCTGCAGCAGCCGCCCCTGGAGCAGCCCGCACCTGCAGCAGCCGCCCCAGTGGCACCTGGAGCAGCTGCCGTCGCGGCCCAGCCTCGCCCTGCCGCAGCTGCCGCGGAGCTCCCTGCTGCGGCCCGGCCCAGCCCTGCAGTTGTAGCGGCCCCACTGTCGCCACCGTCTTGCGCCTGCCGCGCCGACCACTGGTGAGCATTGCCCAGTACTGCTGCAACTGCCTTTTCTACTCCCACTGCCACTGCTCCTGCTGTTACTACTGTTACTGCCGCTACTGCTACTACTGCTGCTCCTGACGTGGCCAGATGTAGCTCCCGGGCTGTGCGCGTGAGTCCCCCACGCCCCAGCAGCTTCGTGCGCGTGAGTGGTACGCTAGTCGGGGCTGTCGGGGTGGCCGTAGTGGTAGTCGCTCTGGAGTGGGTCGGTCGGGAGCTTCTGGTAGTGGACAGGTGCAGCTGCCGTGTCCTCCTTCGCCCCAGCTGCTTCGTGCGCGTGAGTGGTACGCTAGTTTGGGCTGTCGGGGTGGCCGTAGTGGTAGTCGCTCTGGAGTGCATCGGTCGGGAGCTTCTGGTAGTGGACAGGTGCAGCTGCCGTGTCCTCCTTCGCCTCAGCTGCTTCGTGCGCGTGAGTGGTACGCTAGTTTGGGCTGTCGGAGTGGCCGTAGTGGTAGTCGCTCTGGAGTGCATCGGTCGGGAGCTTCTGGTAGTGGACAGGTGCAGCAGCCGTGTCCTCCTTCGCCCCAGCTGCTTCGTGCGCGTGAGTGGTACGCTAGTTTGAGCTGTCGGAGTGGCCGTAGTGGTAGTCGCTCTGGAGTGCATCGGTCGGGAGCTTCTGGTAGTGGACAGGTGCAGCAGCCGTGTCCTCCTTCGCCCCAGCTGCTTCGTGCGCGTGAGTGGTACGCTAGTTTGAGCTGTCGGAGTGGCCGTAGTGGTAGTCGCTCTGGAGTGCATCGTTCGGGAGCTTCTGGTAGTGGACAGGTGCAGCTGCCGTGTCCTGTCAGTGAGGCTGCCGCTCTAGGTGCTAGTACGTCTGTTGCCCTAGGTGCTGGTGAGGCTGC